GGACAGCAAAATCGCTTAAGCCACTACAGCCAGGAGATTTGGTGTGGGTGGAAGCTAAAGAACGATGGTTTCCAGCAAAGGTGTTAGAGAGGTGTGCACAGCCTCGGACATATCAAGTCATAACTCCAGATGGGACTATATATAGGCGGAATAGACAGACAGCAAAATCGCTTAAGCCACTACAGCCAGGAGATTTGGTGTGGGTGGAAGCTAAAGAACGATGGTTTCCAGCAAAGGTGTTAGAGAGGTGTGCACAGCCTCGGACATATCAAGTCATAACTCCAGATGGGACTATATATAGGCGGAATAGACGTAAACTTAGGTATCAAAGGAGGGATTTAGGGGAGGAGGAACAGGAGAATGTAAAACAGAAAGTTAATACAGGGGAGGATGTGAAGGATCAGATACAATCAGAAGAACAACAGAGTAATCAAAATGATAATGAGGTGGAAGAGGCTCCAGACATACAACATCATGAAAATATATCTGAACGGACCCAGGAGGAAGGAAGGCAACCTAGATATGTAACATCTAGAGGCAGGGTGGTATTCTCGCCAGAAAGATATATAGCTGAATAATATATGTGGTCTTAATTATACTCTTAATGGTCTAATGAAATGTTTTTATATTCTCTGTAAATGTTTTCAGTTATGTGTAAAGCAAAGAGATTTTAAGTTATCTTTCTCTTTGAAAAAGGGAGATGTGGTGTAATGTATCTTTAAGATCACTTGGAGTTGTTATGTCCACCTGCAGGCCATTAGCAGAGTGGGTTTTATCAGTCCTCTACTTGCTTGGAGAAACACGTTGTGTTACCTGGTGATAGCTGGATTGAATAAACATTGTATTTTGAATTAAACCCTGCCTGAGATTGTGACTGAGAAGTTGTTGGATTTGTCCTGGACAGTGGACATCACAAGAGGAGGGACGGGCAAAAGAAAAGCACCCAGTTTCATTCCACTTAAAGGCCAAAGGAGTTTTAAGAGGCAAGAATTTTAAAAGCAAACATATTGTAGATATTAGCATGACTATCTTGACTACAGGAATTATTATTCATTCATGAAAGCTGCTGTCCCCATAATGCTAATTTCTGGCTGTTAGTTGTTGACACTAACCTTGATAGCCACCTGCAGAGGGCTGGGATCTCCTGTGATTCCGACCACTGTCCCTTTGTAAACTTCGCCAAATGCCCCATGTCCAAGTGCCCTGAAAGGGAGGGACAGAAGGAATGCATCAGCCATGTCTGTGGTAAACAAACCCTTGTATTCTCAATGGTCAGAACTTTCAGAGCAAGTATGATACAGTCAGTTTCCTTGTTGGGAAAGTATACTGGAGTCTTGCATGTTTGGGGCTGGTTGTTTGCAAACTGACCACTTAAAGTTCAGGGAGCAGGCAAGCATCCTGAGGATTGTGGTCTTTTAGTACCATTCTCTCCCCTCTAAAGCAAACAGCATGCATTTGGAATCCCCAGCCAATTGCAAAACTCAGACAGAAGCCTTTGCAGGCTACATTCCAACTCCTAAACTGAACAAATTTCTGTAAATAGACGCTGCCAGATATATTAAAAGCGGTTAGCATGTATTTTCAGCTAGCTTTAAAAACAACAACTAACCTTCAGTGCCCATTAGGAAGCATTTCAAGTTATATAAAAGATATTTTCCCTTGCCACAACAGAATTCCAGTTACTATAAGGTCCGGGAATGTATCATATATTTTCACACAACCAGGAGACAAAAGTTATCCTCTGGAGTTACACTATTGACTAGAAGAAAACTGTCCATCTTCCACGGTACTAAAACAAGCAAGCTGTATTATGCTAGTATCTCCATAAAAAGGAAGTCTGGAGTTATGCCACTGGAAACTAACCATCAGCCTCTATGGAAGCTAACACTGTTTGGTAAGTCATTCATAAGAAGGGTTTGTGCTGGTTATAGTAGGCACTGCTCCCGATGAATAGCTTTTCAAGTACACAGAGATTGATTTCTGTGCAGTACAATTCAGGTGCTACCAAATCAGCACGGGAGCTGCTCCCACAGGGATAGAACTCAAACTGGCCCAGTAATGCCTGGCAGAAGGGACCACATGGGTCAGGGGAATGACATAGTTCCTTCCCAGTCCACTGCTGGCCCTCTCCACAACATCTGAGTTTACAGAACATACTGAAATCAAAGTGATGATATTAACAAATGGGGATAAAGAGAAAGAGAAACATTATCATGGCTATGAAAAAGGCACATTCACAACACCATTTTATTCCAATAAACAGAACCAGAAAGTGCAAGTCCAGGGGATGCAACAAGGCAGTAGGTTTAGAAGTCACACATAGAATCTGGCCTGCACTGAAAAATCTGCTCATTTCCATTGTATTCAGCAATCACTGCCCACCTATTTTCAGCTTTTTAAGAAACCTGTCTCTGGATCTTCATCTTTTAAAAAGAGAATGTTTCTTAAAAGTCTGAACTAGATGGGCAATGATTGCTAAACATGAAGACTATAATCCTGCATGCAGTTCGGCTTTTTAAATCCCATTGACATTTCTAGTTATAAACGATTAGAGATTTGGGCCAAGTTTAAACCAGTCAGTGGCATAGTGCAAATCTCAATTCTCTTTGTGTTCCCAGTCTCTCTGCCTCCATCTGTCTATTCCCACATACATCATGATCCTTCTCTCTGATAGCACCCAGGAAAAAAAGGATAACCCAGTTTTTCAAAGACCACACTAACCAATTTTTTGCAGCATAAAATAAAACCTGAGTTCAGCAGTACCTTAAATGATTCATAAAATTTAGTTCAACCATTTCGGCCTTCCTTATTCATGGCCCCTTCCCAGTGTCATACTGCTTAGACAACATTACTTGGGCACTGGAGCTTTTATTCACCTGTCATGAGGCAAGGGTCCTTTCTGTTATTGTTTATTGTGCCATCTGTTGTTTTATTGGCTTTATCACTTTTATTATTTTATGAATCTTGTGCTGTGAGCCAACCTGAGCCCATGCGTGGGATACCATGGGGTATGAATTAATTAATTAAATAAATAATATAAGCTTTCATGAGCTTCATATTATTTTGCTGCTACAGACTAGCATGGATTTTTTTTGCTGCTGCTGCTGCTGCTGCTGTCAAGTTGCAGCTGACTTATGGTGGCCCCATAGGTCTTTGAAGGCAAGAGACATTCAGAGATGGTTTTCCATTGCCTGCCTCTGCACAGCATTCCTGATATTCCTTGATGGTCTCCTACCCAACTACTGATCAGGGCTCACCCTGCTTAGCTTCAGAGATCTGATGAGATCGGGCTAGCCTGGGCTGTCCAGTTCAGAGCCTAGCATGGCTACCCATCTGGAATGATCAATCACCATTCAAACTATGTTTGTTGGGAAAAGTATTGAACTAGAAATCAGAAGACTCAAATCCCTGCTGATTGCTGAAGTCTCACTGAGTGACTTTAGGCTAGTCATTCTCTCACAGCCTAATAAACCTCACAGGGCTGTCATGAGAATAAAATGGAGGAGCAGAGAACCTTATATTCTGTCCTGAGCTCCTTGAAGGAAGAATGGAATTGAAAAAGCAATACATAAATGACACAATACTCCCAATCACAAGTGAGCCTTGTGCCAAAGTTGCCTGTTTTCTAATCAAACAATACAAGATTCCACTGCAAAATTCTAAACCTTTTTGTTAGCAGGATGAGAATCATTAGAATTAAAGCAAAGCTGCCAGGTTCCCCGACTGAGGGTTATGGTGCTCCGTAGCCAAGCCTCACCGGAGCAGTGAGATGTTCTTCCGTGGGATCTCCTTGAGTTCACTGAGGGAGGCGGCCTTCCCTGCAAAGCTGTAGTTGGGATTGTAATCAGTCATGATGGTGGAGGTGTGGATTTTACTCAGCTTGTATTCGGGACTCTGCAGACGCTCACGGGCCCCTTCCAACTGCTGCTTTTTGCGATGATAAACTGAAGGAGGGTAGTGCAGAAACAAGGGTGAAAACAACATCTGGATGCAGCAAAGAAGAACTGAAAGAAGGCAGAACAACAAATGCAGTAACATTCCAGAAGTTCTGCCTGAACATTATTTATTTGATTACTGAAAACTCTGTTGTTTTTAGTTAACATTTGCTAATTTTATTGTGATCTTTCTGGAGCATCGCAGGATTGTGAGGCAGGAAAGCCATCTGCTCAACTGGCAGATCTCACCCATAAACGTCTACGTCAGAATACATCCTCAGTAAAGAGCAGACATTGCCATGCGTCACGAAAAGCAATGTTCCTTCCCAATACATGTGCAACTGTGACAGTCTGTTGCAAAATTTAAAGCTATAAACTGGAGACTGCGTAAAAAAACTGCCCACTGAAAACAGCTGTGGTACACAAAAGTGATGAACTATATAGATTTGATAATAAAGTCATACTGTTCAGTGAAGCTTAAAAACATTCTCCCCGCTTCTGTAAAATCTGTGATGAGTTTTAGATCTTATGGGCCATTTACAAGGATGAAAACAAGAATTTAGGAAGTTCCAAGCACTGAGAGGCAAGATGGAGACCTGAATAATCTTGTATATCATTGGGAAAGTGTTAGAAGACTCAAAGCTCATCAGGATTTTTACAGAAGCAACAAATAATATTGCTAAAGCTTGGCTGAACAGCATGGGTTTATAAACAATACTTTGTATTTTACCATTTTTGTGAACTTGCTGCTTTGTGCAGACACTGTTCCATCTCAATGGCATCAGCCTCTTTGTGCTACAGCCCCAACTGTTACAAGTAAGGATGGCCGTGAACTGAACCATGAACCAAACTGGTTCACTCTCTGATGAGCCCATCCATGGTTTGTGGGCCCAGCAAATCTCATTTAAAGGGACCACAGCCCCTTTAAATGGGGGTTTCAGAAAGCAGCAAAAACACCTTAGCAGGGGGAGTGCTCCCAGCTGCTCAGCTGTTTCAGGCCTTCTTGTGTAGTCCCTTTAAAGTTTAAAGGGACTGCACAAGAAAACCCAGAAACAGGGAGCAGCCTGTTCAGGGTGAGGCAGCACTTCAACAGGGGAAGCCCCCATCCATTGCCCAGCAATCTGGAAAAGCCTGGGCACCCACCCACCCTCCCCCTGCTGCCTAAGGATGCCCCCCCCCCAGACTTCCAATCAGGAACTCACCCAGGACACCAATGGAGGAGGAGGCTGGTGGTGGAGAAGGGGTGGCCAGCTGAGATGGGGTGGGCCCTGTGGGTGGGCCCAGCTGCTGTATTGCTATTGTGGCCCATGGCCACGGCCCTGGTGCCACTGTACAGCTTGCCGCAGCCATCTCCTCTGCCGAACTTTCAGCAGTTCTGCCTGGTGAGCCAGCTGTGGCCCTTCCTGGGTAAAAAAGATCTTGCCACGGTGGTACAAGCCTTGGTAACATCTAGATTAGATTAGTGAAATATACTCTGTGTGGAGCTGCCATTGAAGAGTGGAGAGCCAGTGTAGTGTAGTGTTCAGAGTTTCAGAATAGGATCTGGGAGCTCATGGTTCGAAAGTGCACTCTGCCATAGAAAGCTGCTGGGTGATCTTGGGCCTCACACTCATAACCCAATGTACCTCACAGAGTTGTCGTGAAGAATAAATGGAGGAAAATTATGTAAGACATTTTGCATCCCCACCAGGGAGAAAGTTGGGATATATGTGAAGCAAATAATAATGAAATAAAAGCAAGTCTGGAAATTACCATGGATATAGAATTCTGAGACAGGAATGCTGACAGGAGTGAGTCATGACAGTCTTGTTCCAATTACAGTACTTTTCAATTTGTCTCTGGGCCCAGTTCTGGGTGCTGGTATTGACCTATAAAGCCCTGAAAGGTTTGAGATCAGCATACCTTAAAGACTGCCTACTCCCATATGAACCTAACAGACAGTTACAATAATCTTTGAAGGCCTTGCTTCCAGTGCTCCTGTCATCTGAGGTGAGATGAGTGGCAACCTGAGAAAGGGCCTTCTCAGTTGTGGCACCAAAATTGTTGAATTTATTCCCCAGGGGAAATTGTCTGGGCCCCGCTATCATTATCTTCTGTCAGTCAAAGACCTTTTTTTTCATTTGACATTTGCTGATTGACCCTCCTTCCTCTTTATGTATTTAGTTGTTGTTTTATATATCTATATGCTTATTGTTTTATATTGTGTACTGTTGTGTATTATTTTTATTGTTAGATACCTTGAGATCCAAAGTTGGATGGAAAGGCAGCATGAAAAGGTTTTAAATAAACTAAACATATAAATAAATTTTTGCCTCAGCTGTCTAAGAGTTTGCTCCCCGGGGGCAGCAAATGATGGGTTAGCCACATTCACAGAACATTTTTGCAATGTTTAGCTAACAGAAAAGACAAACAACAGAGATGAACAATGCAATCCTAAACAGAGTTATACCTTTCTAAATTCAGTGAAGTCATGGGCTTAGCAGAGTGCAATTGTGCTTAGGACTCTACTGAAAGTTTATCACAACTGACTTGTTATCCACACATAAGCAAACTTATTATTCCATTCCCTCTTCTCTCCTTTTGCACCATTTGTTTTATAATGTGAGATTGCATACACATTTCTCTGTACAATGTTTAATATTTTCCAGTAACTTTGAAACTATTACTCTTTTTTATTTCATAACCCAAAGACATGGACCTCTTCAATGATAAGCAGCTCTTTCTCTTTATTCCTTTGCAATCACATTGATTTTTTTAAAATCATCCCACAGCTCTCCCGTTAGGCTCAGGTCTTCCAGTGCAGCCATCATACAGGCTAGATAAAAAGGCAGAAATAGGAACTGATGAGATCTGCAGATATACAAGAAAGATGCCTCTTACCAATTGATAGGCTGCCGCAAGTGAGAGCCATTCCAAGCACCACAATAATTGCAACCACAGTCAAGAGGAGTGGGAAAGGCAGGTGTCCTTCTGGAATAGGTCCACGGATCTCTGGTAGAAACATATTAGAGCCTATTAGTATCTGCCTACAGCTCCTATACAGCGCTTCTGGAACATGAGCATAAGAACTGCTCAGAGGTGTCATCAGAGCCAGACTGTGGGGTGGAAGTCCAGAGCCCCAGGCCTCAAATGCAAGTTGTCACTAGTAAGCCCTATTGAGCATAGCAGGACTTGTATCTGGATGAATATGCACAGAATCAAGTTACTTCAAGCGTGTTGATTGAGGAGACCATGGGATAGAATGAGACAAGCTTGTTGAAGGTTTATTCTGTGCTCATATGTGATGCATATATGGTATATATTTGGTGTGAGAGCAAGTTTGGTGCAGTGGTTAAGTATGCGGGCTCTAATCTGGGAGAACCAGGTTTGATTCCCCAGTCCTCCACTTGCAGCTGCTGGATGACCTTCGGCAAGCCATAGTTCTGTCAGAGCTGTTCTCTCAAGGACACTTCTGGAAAGAACTCTCTCAGGCCTGCCTACTTCACAGGGTGTCTGTTGTGGGAAGGGGAAGGGAAAGGAGTTGTAAGCTGTTCTGAGACTCAGAGTGAAGGCCGGGGTATAAATCTAAATATCTTCTTCTCTCCTTCTCCTCTAAAGATGGTCCCCTCTAAGTCCATTAAGTCCAGAGACAAAAATAATCTAACCACAGCAGTAAAAACTAAACCAGACCCAGAATTCAACCAGCTCAGTACTCTGTTAGCAACCATGGTCACTTCCTCAGTTCACAAGCAAAGACAATATTCCTCATATCCAGCTTCACTAACCAGACTTATACTTCCTCTGAATATGGTGGTTGAATTTAACTATCCTAGCTAATACCCTTTGATACACCATGACAGAGGTCTGGCTTTTAATTCTGCCTTCCACATGAAGGTTGGTAATCAATCCTGACATAACACACGTTGTAGCAAAATCCAATAGCCATCTATACTCATAAATGTGAAAAAATGCAATTTATTCAATGCAATAGACTGAAAAATAAATGCCTCCCTGGTTTTTTTTATTATTCATATGGTAAATGATGAATAATGAGCAGGAACTGCCTGTGGAAACAACATGCCCTGACATTCTGAGACCCTGCACAAGATAATAAGTTTCAGGCAAATGAAAGGAACTATAGAATAACTGGTGTTTGACCGGGTGGTATTGCAGGAATTGGATGGCAGGAGTAGAGTCTGTTGGTAACAGGTAGGGTTAAACCATACAATGAGAAAACCCCCTCACAAATACAACAACTAACCACTGAAGTTTTTTTGTATACAGAAATCTTCAGTAAAACAAAACCCCAGAATCCTGGGAACTGTAATTTGGTGGAGAGTGCTGAGAATTCTGTTAGCAATCCCTCACCCCTACCACAATCCCATAGCTATTTATTTTATTATATATCCACTTATATTTCACTCCTTCAAGGCTAGAGATACCTTAAACAATTATTCAAGCCTGAACAATGCTATAAAACTAAGTATGAAGGAGAACTTTTCCAACCCTATTCCTCAGGCTCTGGAACTCCCAACCTCAAGAATTTCAGTCAGCCCTTCATTATTGGCTTTCCAGTGAGCCTTTGAGAGGGGCTGAAGTTGGTTTTGTTGATTTGAATGTTAAACTCCAGGCTCTGTTTTTTGGTTTGGTCTCTTGAGGTCTTATTGTTGCTGATCTGGTGGTTTTATCGGCTTAGTTTTATTGTTTGTTGGTGGTTAGTATAGTTTTAGCCTGCTGCTAAATGTGTTGTGATGTGTTGTTTGTTTTCAATTCTGTGTTATAATTTTTGTAAGGCATTCTGGTTTTCCACGAAAAGTGCAGGGTACAAATACAGCAAACAGATAAATAACCACCCCAGCAGAACAAACGCAACATTCAGAACACAGCTTCTTTGTTCCTTGGAAAAAGAAAATTATTATTTCGCCAATTCAACTCTCTAGTGTAGATATGTTTATCACCTTTGAACCATACATGAAAAAGTGGGAGAAAATAAGCAATGAAACTATATTTTATTTCGAGAGAAAATCCCATGTTTTACCTGTACAAGAGACATTGTCATTGGCTAAAATGGTTCCAATCCCACAAATACAGATTGGCAGGGTAGTGTCAGGACCTGGCTTGCAGTTACCCGACTGGCAGTGGGTGCAGTTCAAGAAGATTTCAATCACCACTTCACCATGGCTTTCCATAACTGAATAAGAAGGAAAAGCTAGGTTTTAAATGGTGCCATTCCAAGTCACTAATAAAGACCAAGTATTACCCATTCCAGAAAGCAGGAAAGGAAATGAGTTATTTCCTGTCTTTCCTCTGTTCCCTTGCACCTACCAAAACCAGAAATATTTCAATTAACCAATGGGGATATGAACTATGAGGAGTGTCCAGAACCAAATACTGCATTCATGATCACATATTAAAGCGCCCCTGTGTGGAAGCCCCTAAAAACACATTCATGTGGCTGTATAAAATGTGCATTATGTGCAAGTTGGCTTCACTGTGTGTAGAATGCAGCCACATGGATATGGAGCCCTCGCATCAACATACTGCACTGAACTAGCCTAACTCACAGGGTAAGCCTACAGGAAGCTACAATACAGGAAGTGGCTGTAGCCACAGACTAAGCCAATACCATGGGACATGTAACACTGAGGTCTAAAGATGCCCAGGATTTTGTGCAGAAATTCCAGGCCAAGCTTCTGTCTGGTCTATATTACTATAACATTTTCAAAGTACTAATCTGCATTCTGACTGGCACAGTGCTTGTGGGTTTGGGACGTATACAATGTTCCCTCTAAGCTGAGTTAGTGTGAGCTAGCTCATAGTTTCTTAGCCTCCAGCTCACACATTTTTGTCTTTGCTCAGGAAGGATGGCTCCAGAGCAAACTAATTTATGCAGTAGCCAAATTACTCGCTCACAGCTTTGATGCCAGTATCTCACAAAGTAGAATTTTTGCTCACAAGACTCCACAGCTTAGTGGGAGCATTGAATATATAGAACCCCTCCCCAAACGCTCTGTCTTTGTAAGAGAGGAGCACAAAAATAGTATATGGATGAATTGTACAGAAGAGATAAGAGCAACCACAAGAGACAATGAGTTAGATTCAGCAATCCACATATGCAAGGATCATGGATCTCCCACTGTTTCCCTCCCCCCATCTGTCCTTTCCAACTCCAGGAAATTTTATCCTTGGGGTCACAATTCCATGTGGACTAATAGCTATGCAGGCGGAAGGGAAGGGAAGGAAAGAGGCAGAAAGGGCAATTTTGTCTCCTTCTTCCTCCCTATTGCAGCCTCCCAGCTGACGTGGCTACTAGTCCAAGTGGGTCCTACAGCCCCAGGAACAAACTTTCCTGAGGTCAAAAACAGAAAGGACTTCTGGGGACAGCAGAACAAAGGACGATCCATAACTGTCATCACCTTCTGCATATAGATTACTGGATCTAGACCACTGTGTACTAAGGTGGGAAGTTGCTGAGAGAGCGGAAATATCTTGCCTGACAAGGGATGCAAGAAGATCTCTCCAATTGGATTCACAAAAGAAAGGCCATGTTGTCCATCAGCTGTAATATCATCAGTTTCAGAGGCATTACCACCTGGGGGAAGAAGAAACAGCCAGTATATCATATCATGCCTAGAGGGGGCAATGAGGAATCTATGGGTCGTTTGGTATCCCAGTTTCTCTCAAGAATCTTAATAGCTAGGATTAACATTTGGATTTTTAGTAAGATCATATTATTGTTAAGGCATTCTCGCCAGTTCCCAGTATCTATAAAGCAAGCAAGCGAATACTATATATTAGCGAAGATGTACACTTGATTTTAAAATGTCTCTCTCACTATCTTCAGTGTATTAACATCACAAACAAGTGATATATTCCAAAGGTGTTCTGAGTATCACTCTATTATGCCTTCAAGAATGTTGATGAAATCACCTCACCTGTTCTTTCTATCTAACCCAGGACTGCTTACTCTGGCAGCAGTTTTCCAAGGTCTAAAGCAAAGATTCTTCCTAGCCCTGCTACCTTGGAATCTTTAACTGGGGTGCCAGTGACCTTAACCAGGTAAAGCACAGGGAGACCTCAATATATGCCCTACTGTCTGAGGAAAGCCCTTTAGATCTCACTCTTCTAGTCTTAGGAAGAAATATATTTCAAAATTCTGGGCAACCTAAAAATCATTATCCATATAATCAAATTCATAGCAACATCCTCCCTTTCCGTTATTTCAGCTTTCTTAAATGATGGTACACTACCCAGGCATGCTTAGCGGAAACTTCATGACTTTTTAATGAAGAAATTATTGTTGCCACTTGCAAAGGTGAATTATTCACTGGTGTATCAGCAATGCCAAGGGCTAAGTGTGCAGAAATGATGAAAGATGATAGTTAAGAAGTATAATTGGCACTGTATCTAATGGTAAAGATGATGTTCAAAGGTCAGTCATGAAAGGAGCAAAACCAGGCCATCCACAGAGCACTTTCACAGGAAGATATTATCCCATTTTGAATCAGGTTTGGTCCCAAGGTTGGGATAATTTCCAAGGGGATACTTGCAAATGGGCTCTTTGAACTGGATACACAGCACAGTTGGATTGAATGTCAGATATTGTTGCACTGTTCCTCCATCACCACCTGCCACTTCTTTTTGCTCCTCTCTCCCTTAGGTTTGCAATATGTCAATATACTGAAAAACTGCTTCATTTTATTCAGGAAAAATAAAGTGCCTCATTATGAAGTGCTACAAAGAGTTCAGGTAGTATCTCCTGCAACTCAGAAATGAAACCACATAACAAAGCCTGAAGAAAAACGTTTCACGAAACAAACAAAAAAAACAGATCAAACTTTCATTAAAAAGTGGGACAGTAATGTTTACCCTTTAAGATGTCTGAAATGGAAAAACAAACTGTTCACCATCAGAATCAACAGTGGCTTAAACAGCCTGCCTGAAATGCCACCCTCTCAAACCCCCACGCTCTCCATCAGATACCAAAATGGATTAAAAAGCCTGTCTCGAAACATTCCCTTTCTTACCTCATTTTTTAATTTTTGAAAACAAAGTAATAGTATAGAGGGGACAGAGAAAGGAAAAGAGGGATTATATAACATAATTGTATTTATCAAGGATAATTACATATAACAGAGTGTATAAAACAGAAAATAATTAGTCTGTTCAAGTCCCCAGGGGCTTATAGTATCCTGAAGGTAGGTATCTGGGTCAGATGTGGACATTCCTAATTAATGCACTTGTCCATAATTTCTCAGGCCCCCTTCTCCCTGGTTCACTGGAATAGTATCTGCAATAGCCTTTTTGGTATACTTTTTTCTTAGCTGATTATACCAAACATCAGCTAGTACAATACATTTTGATTAAGTGTAATGAAGATATAGTCTGACCCACCTTTGTATCCTCCACCTCCACCACCAGATGTACAAGCTCCTCCTCCACCACCAAAGCCACCCGATGTGGCCCACTGGAGTTTTTCCAGTGCTTGGTGGCAGGCTGTGCCACCTTCTCCACCTTCCAGCAGAGACTTTCCAGCCCAAGAAAAGTGAGTGATATCTTCCCAACCACCTCCTCCACCTGTAGAAATGAACATAAGAGACAATCCAAGAGGCCATGATCTCATTTCATGGAGACTGTAATCAGACAGCAGGCTTTGGCGTGGTCTGGCCATGCCTCTTATTTCTCAGGAGCTATTTGTTCCGGAAAGATGCAACCAGACATGCCACCCTATTCCTGCCTCACCACAGGGGTGTCAAACATGTGGCCTGTGGGCCAGATCAGGCCCTCGGAGGGCCCCAATCAGGCCCGCAAGGCCCTGACTGTCTCCTACTTCCATTTGCAGTTCTGCTGCTGCTGCCACATTACAGCTTGCTTTACCAGTCTCTCTCAGTCGCACAGGAGAGAATGATAGGCAAGGCTCTCCTGTGAAATTGAGAGAGTCTGGTAAAGAACTGGCTGAGGCTCCTCCCCCTCCTCCTCCCAGGGGAGGGAGAGAACAGCCAGAGCTGGCTTCCTGGCCAGGCTGCAGGAGACAAAGGGTAGCCTTTCTTTCCTTCCACTGGCTAAGGCTCCTCCCTGAAGGGAGGGAGGGAGGGAACGAGGGAGAGCTTGCTTTGCTGGGCTGCCTCAATCGCATGGCAGAAATACCAAGCATCTTTAAGACCAACAAAGTTTTGTTCAATGTATAAGCTTTTATGTGCCTTGCTACAGTGTGTGCACGTGTGTTTTGTTTGGCTCTTATGCCAGGGCTCTCCTGGGTGCAACTGGGTTCCCTCTCCCTTTTTACTGTGTTCATGCCCTCATGATCCGGTCTTTCTCAGTAAGAAAGCTATGTGAGCTATTTTAGAGCAGGAATAACAACAAATCACTGAGGTGGATTAGATTGAGAGTGTGTGTCCAGAACAAGTTAATCCCTTTGTAGGAAGTTGTAGTTCTTTCTCTGGGGAAGAGTATAGTTTTGTTGACAAACACATGGCCCTCAGTCTGTGTTAGGATGCCTTCTCATGTTCTTGACTAGCACATGAAGCAACTTCTGTACAAAAGGTTGCAATGCCCAACCATTTCATGTTTTCCCCTGGGTCCTAGGCTAGGAACACTGAGCATGAGATTTCTATAATAAATGTCGATTAATCAAAGTAGGTTTGCAATTTACAGACACACACCTGAACAGCATACTCAAGATTGCTACAGCACAGACATTTTGATGCAATAATTCAGAGCAGAGGTGTCAGTTATCAGAGACTAAACAGATTCAATATTGCAAGATTGCTAGTGTTTTAAGCATGTTTTATTTAAAGTTTAAAAAATCTTTCATTGTGTTAATCTGTGTCCTTTATAAAGTTTATATCTCTGCTACCTGGCATTACATTTTATGACACACATGGCCCGGCCCAACAAGGTCTCATTTATGTCAGATCCGGCCCTCATAACAAATGAGTTTGACATCCCTGGTCTAGACCGCCACTGCGTGGTCACCATAGAGAGGGCGTGCAGGCAACTTCTTGTTTTTAAAAAACCCTCTGATGTGCACATGCAAATAACTGCTTATTCACTAGGAGCGGATATGAAGTTATGCACACATTGCTAAGTGCAAAGAAATGGTGGCTAGGGACCGGAAGCATCAGACTTCACTAAGTGGCTTGAATGCACAAGGGAGAGATCAGACGTCTGGAAATTCGTGGTGAGACATGTTCAATCGTAAATACTAGACTTCATCCGGTGTTGGGAAAGTCGGGGGTGAGGATGGGGGCCCCCCTGACAACTAAGGCATGGGAGGCAGATGTTGCCATCTGATCGTGCACTTCAAGTCTGGTAGGGAACTGCTATAACATCAGAGCAACTTGCCCATATGATCACAGCCATAATGTAACAGAAGCACAGAAAAAGCTTTTTACAGAGTGATCCTTTCCATATATACTGAGAATCAAGTCTGATGGGGTATTCATATACCCCAGCATTCTTTGACTCTCAAAATCTGCAGTAATAGTACAGTATAAAAGACCATGTGCTATGAAATAACCTCCAACTAAATGTTTCACACTGTCATGAACTCAATGGATAGTTTTAAGCTGCCATCTTAGACTACTCGATGGTGACAAGAGCACTGATCAGCCTGTTGTAATTGTAATGGATACTGTGATAACATGTGATACACTAGCAGTCCAATGGAAATTGTTATGTGTGTATCAAAAAGTATTACATCATTCTGAGGCTAAATAGGGGTACATCTAGGTAGGTAAATTCTGTTGTAGCTCACTTCCAATAAAACCCCTCTAAATTTAATGGACTCACTCCAAAGTAAGTGAACATACAATTACAAGACTTAAAACTTTACAGAAATGAATTTTTATACAGAATAATTTCTCTGATCAAAATCACTATATAAACATTCTGGGTAGTGAGCTGTACTTTCAAATTCAAATAAACGAAGACAGGGCCCACTTAAATCACTCAAAGTTTTCCTTAATGGATTAGCCCATGCCTACAGCAGAGAAAGAAGTTGGTGTTGGCTTAATTTTTAAAAAAGGAAAGCAGAGGGAGGGGCATGATAAAGGTTTATAGATTTAAGAACAGTATGGGGAAAGTGGTTAGAAATTATTTTTTCTCCCTCTCTCATAACACCAGATCTGAGAGTCACACAGTGAAATTAGTGTCAGATTCAAGACAGACATTAGACTGCATTTTGTCACACTACACATCATCTTAAGGAATTTATGACTACAAGATCTAGTGATGACCACTTTTTGGTGTGTTATAGGGGAGGACTAGACAACTTTCTGATCTAAAAGCCTATCAAAAGCCGTAAGAGCTATATAGAGTTTCAGCTGTTGCTAGAAGATAAACAAAAGCCTATTGTCTTTTCTTGAAAACTGCTTGGGATATTCAGGAATTGTGGCAGCATGAAATCTGTTTTAGGAACTAGCTGAAAACTCAGCTCTTAAAAAGAGAAACTCACAATCACTCCCTAGGACTATGGATAATTGGAGGAGGGTACTGGGGCTTTTATTGTACCTTGTATGTTTTAAATTTGGATTTGCAAGCCACCTTGAGCCAAAAAGGAAAGGTACAGTATAAACATTTGAATGAATTAATAAATAACAGAATCACTATTGTTTCTGAACTTATGCTGCCAGTGAAATTTCTGTGCCTCTAGCAAAATTGCTGTAGGAATGAGAATAATTCTCAGCTGAGCACAGATTGAATTTTGCCGTCCATGTCTTTGAAATCTAACTTGCTCCTTCATGCTATGAGAACACATTTGCAGTAATGCTCTATTTGTCATTCATTAGCCATGTTTTCTGCTAGATTTTTTTCACTTTCCTCAAGATTATCTCTTTTACTCCTGACTGTTCCCCAATTGTTATGCAAATTTCTTTGGGTGCCCAAAACCTCAATATATTACCCTGTCTCTTTGTGTTGAAATTTGGGGGCCATTTCTGTAAAGTTATTGAGCTGTTTGCATTAAGTATTGGCAACGGTTTCAATATATACAATGTCACATGTCTCCCAAATTTTATATATATATTTGTTTGCTTTTCAGCTTCTAGATCCAAGAGAGAAAGTAATCCTAAGTATGTCTACTTCGAATCCTACTCTGGTCTATTCAACAGGGCTTACTCCCAGGAAAGTTTTCTTAGGATCACACTGAAAGCCTTCTACAGATCCTTACCGGCTGCCCCAGTTCTCCCACTGACTCCAGGTATTGCTGTGCTGTTCACATACTTTTCCAAGAAGGCATCTTCTAGGGAACCATCCTGATATTTCAAGTAACTGTTTCCTCCTCCTCCTGCAGCAATGAGCAAGGGCTCAAAAGCGCCATCCTTCTGCTGCTCAATAAGGCACACACACACATACATACATAATCAATGCACTGAGGAAGTCAAGAAAGTGCAGTTAAGTTCAACATCAGGTACAATTTTTTTCAAAGGGGGAAAATCAGGTATAAATGGTTGTAACATCTCCCCCCTCCTATAAGCATGAAAAATAATGCAACAATACTGAGCAAACTTGCACATGAATTCAACAGTAAGCAGCAGCAATTATGCCATGGAGCAAGGAATCTAACTTTCAGATCAAACTCTAGTAGTAGATGTAACATCCTTTGAAATATATTAGCTATAAGGCTTTTTCAGCCTTTACTGAAAAATGAGGACTTAAACTGGCTTAACAGACATTCTTCTCTCTCCAGGAAACCCTTGGAATAGTAGTTCAGTGAGGAGGGTTGGGGGCCCAGAATTGACTGGTGCATGAAAAATGCAATCATTTCTACTTGTAAGTAAATAAGCACCATGTAAATTTGCTACTCACCAAAACAGTTACACTGATACACACACACACAATAAGATGTACACATATAGATACGGATAGATACACAAATACATATAGATATACGGATGTATAGATATATAGCACTTTCACACATGCTAAATAATGCAGTTTCAATCCATTTCAGCAACCCTTTGCAAGTGGATTTGCCATTTCACACAGTAAAATCCAGTTGCCAAGTGCACTGAAAGTAGATTGGAAGTGCATTATTTAGTGTGTATATGCAATGATAACACCCAAGTTGTGGACAACAATCTTCATGCATGTGAGACAAGCAACACTCAACGAAGAAAATCTGTCCTTTTCAGAACTGAACAATTCTTAGTGTGACCATCTTAACCTTAAGTGGATGCCCTCAGTGTTTTAAGTGCTGATTGCACAGAGAAAGTCCACGCCTCAGGGTCAGACAGAGTTTAACATTTTAATGATGAAACTTGTGGTTCTGCTGTATTTTTTTTGAAATGCTGAGAGCCACCCTGAATCCTACCTTGTGGGAGAGGGGTGGGATATAAATCTCAAAAATTAATAATAAATGAATAAATGATACGCTGGGAGAATTGTGATCAGATCTTCTCAGAATTTAAAAAATGCTAATCTAAGCCATGTGAAGTCCTCATCAGGGCCTTGTGGGGAGCACGGAATAGAGAGATTCAGCCTAATCAAAACAGACAGGCACATGCAAGCTATTATTAGCCCTCAAAGGAAAACAACATTGGCCCCAGCCACACGTGCCAGGAAATGTGGGGGGGAGGCGTGGCTATTTGCGCTGTCGCATTCTGATTTGCCGTTATGCGATCAGACGTGACAGCGGCACAGCAGGGTTTTGTCCTTCGGCGCACGCTGCAAAGAGGACGGCTGGAGGGAATAGGCACACGCCAGCGCGATCACATTGAACGAGTCCGTCTGCAGCCCATGGCAAACCATTTGCTAGTAGATCTTTGCAGGTACTTTTTAACTGCGCATCTTCGGCGGCACGCCACGGGTTGGCCATGGGTTGGCCATGGGTGCACTACGCTTGCCAGATGTTGCGGTGTGATCATGCCCCAAAAATCCACCCAGCATTCGTGCCTTTCGCGTGGCAAATTCTCCGTGTGACTGGGGCCATTGTTTTTTTTTTCTTTTGAGGGCTAATAACTGCATGAGAAGGTGATTAGTTCTGAGCAGCCAAACCACATGGGAGTAGGGAGTGCTGTCTTACAACACTGATCCAGACTGGCCATACACACATCTTTCTTATATTAGAATTTTAAGAACACAGACAGGATCTGATCAGAATTGGTCTGTTTTTTTGCTAAAAATATATTTATTGCAACTCAGGTGATAATGCCATTATGGGCAAGGCAGAAGCATGTTCCAATGAAAGCTCAGACCAGTTCATGGTTGTTCCCAATATTTCAAAGACAGATATACGAAGACATTTCCATTTCTCTCTCCATTTTTTGGGGTTACTTGGCCAACAGGAGACAAAATGCTGTTAAGTTACCTCCATGCCTGAGAGGAGATGAATGGTGATTCCAGGCCCGTAGCCAGGATTTTTTAAGTCAGGGGGCATTTAAATTTCTTAGGGGGCACAGGCTAATCAAATTAAAGGTAATTTAATTCAGTTTCTGGGGGAAATAGAGAGGTGCTGTCTGGCTCCACATGGCCACCGTAACTGGCCCTTCATGCCAGACAGCTGTGCAGGAATACTCATCTCCCTCCCTACACCTGCCACTGCTCGGGGGCCCTTGGCTGGATGGGAAGTTGTGTGGCCTTGCCAGTAAGTCGGGGGGGGGGGGGCCAGCCCCGAAACCCCCACTGTAGCTACGGGCCTGGGTGATTCTCAGTTTATTTCCAACAATCAGAAAAGATGCCTTTTCGCATTTATCCCCTATTTTGCAATCCCAATTTGTGTTACAGCATAAGTCCAAACGGAGGCACCAAACACAGTTCCACCAAGCAGAATGATGTTGTCATATTTGTCATGAAAATCAGGTTCATGTTTATTGTGAGCTTGTCTTGCCACTGTACATTGAATGCTATGGGCGAGTAAAGCCAGGCCTGTAGCCAGAAAATTTTTAGGGGGGGGGGATAAGTACAGTGGTGGTCATCTACTTGAGACTTAAAGTAGATTACATGGTATAGAACACTATAATCAAACAGCATGAGAGATCTAATAAACAATGCAATAGGACTAGGCGTACAAAAATCCCAAAATGCAGAAAAGTATCAAACATGCTGTGTCAAGCAATGCAGAAAATAGAATTACAAAAAATGAAAACAGTGCTGTAAGAGCATGATAGAACATACAACAAATCAATAATATATAGTGTACACTGTGGCATAGACCAATGTTCCCTCTAAGCTGTGGAGTCTTGTGAGCAAAAATTCTACTTTGTGAGCTCCCGGCATTAAAGTTGTGAGCAAGCAATGTGGCTACTGCATAAATTAGTTTGCTCTGAAGCCATCCTTCCTGAGCTAAGACAAAAATGTGTGAGCTGGAGGCTAAAAAACTGTGAGCTAGTTCACACTAACTCAGTTTAGAGGGAACACTGGACTAGACTGTCCTGTTCTATATAAGCTTTATAAAAGTGCCCTCTCAAGTAACTGTTTTACATGGTTTGCAGAATCAAAGAAGTGTGAGAGCCTTCTTCCAGTTACTGAAACCTGAAACTCTAAATTCAACCTTCTTTTCTCTGTAATTCACTAATTCATGGCTTCTAAATGGTGCTACCCATACAGGCTTTTAAAATCAGGACTTTTCAGCCCTGCTAACTGCTAATTCTGTTCTAGCCAATTGCATAGTGAATTAACCCTTGGAAGATTTATGACAGGATTCACACTTTTTACCTCAACTCCTACCTTTTTTACAAAGAAAATTTACACCTGAAAGACATGTGACAGATTTCACAGCAACCTATAATGCTGATTGGGGGGGGGGGCATGACAAATTATTGATGGGGCACTGCCCCTTTTGCACCACCATGGTTATGGGTCTGCCTAAGGCACTCTTCGCAATGGGCAAGAGGATCTCTCAGGGCCAGAGTCCCACTCCAGAATTGGTCTGTTTTGACTCTCCGTTCAGGCCCTAGGGCTGCTAGGTGCCCTCCTGTGGTGGGGGAACACCTGCCCCCAATTGCCTGCAATTGATCAAGTGAGCAGTGAGAGAAAAACTGTGGGGATATTACAGCCCCCTACCCTGTGACACTAGGAATTTTCCCAGTCTCTATGGTAAATATTAGGGGAATTCCTACAGCATCATGGGGGTCTGTGATTTTACTTCCAGGCAACCACCCAGAAGTGTTGTCACAGTATCTGCAACACTGCCCACTTTTAAGCCCCACCCTGAAATTTGAGAGCATAGGCCTTGCAACCCTAAGTTCAGCACTGATTATGGGGGTTTAGCACTCAATTTTAACAGTCATTCCCTCAGTCCAAGGAATCCTTGGAACTGTAGTTGCTTGAGGGGGAACTAGAGTTCTTTAACAGAATTCTAAGTATTTTGTTACATATATCAGATCTTTGAAGTTAAAAGCCCCCTCCCCAATAAATCAGTGCAGTGCAGAACATAAAGGGATGTCTATATTTTTAGGGCTGATTCAGAGTTACAGCGTTCTCTGTATACTTATGAACAACAATCTCTCTTTGGTAGTAACACCAACCTTGGAACTACATATAATGTTGGCAAATTGCTTTCCAGATTGCATGAAGAGTCCTGGCACTAGTACTGGACACACCTGGTGGCTCCTGGTGCTCCTGGCCGAATAATGTAAGCCATGTGAAAAGCAGCATACAAATGCTACAGCCTTTGTGCATGTTTTAATGATGAGTATCCATTTGAAGACTACAATGTTTTTATTAAGCCTTTAATGAAGCACCTCTGGATGTCTGCCTTTCATGAGAAGGCTGGCAAGCAACACAAACACTTACCCTGAAGACGTAAGTGGCTCCTCCACCCCCACCCCCTCCTCCAGCCCAGTCAGTCAGGCCCTTCTCTTTCTTGTATTCTTCTTCAATGATGGATGATTCTCCCAAGCAGATCTGCTCAGCCAGAAAGTTGCCCTGAAAGGAAACAAGAGGACAGCAGCTAAAGACTAGCACAGGAATATTATTAGGCTACTAACCAAAAGGGTTTCTTTAGAAATGTTCAAGTCTCCTGATTTTAAGCAATTCTTCACATTTACATGCATTTAGATGTTACAAAACCTCATTGGCCTTTGGAGCATGAAGAGGAATGGAACAATTTACCCAAAATTAGATGGAAATATCATTTTTAAAGCTTTGTAAAATTAAACTTGATAATAAAGAAATTACCCCCCCAAGCTTTTAAACTAAAAAGTGGCAGCTTATCAGTACCATAGATGTCACTTAAATACTGGCAGATACATTTGGAACAAATCCCATAGACGTGGAACCATAAATAGCAATTGATCTTCGAAGGGGGCAGCAGTCATTAAGTCAGGAACTCTGACTAGACAGCAAACTTCACTTGGAAGCTTTCAAAGCAGGACTAGACTCTAGCAGTCCAGGGGCAGAATATTGCCCACTGAAGACTGATACCTAGACTCAAAAGTAGCTTTGGGGGTCAGAAAGGTCATGGTGATGCATTTGTTTCCACTGCTGCTTTTTAAAATTAAGGCATGAAGACAATAGCATAATTCTCCAGCCAAATCCATGCCAGCTTGGACAATAAATGTGTGTCTGACTGGTGAGCAGCCAAGCCATCCTTGCATCCTTGATTATTTCCAGGCCAACAGGATACACTGGGTTGCTCAACAACCACACATCTCATCTTCTGTATTTTCTCCTTCTCCCTTCCTCAAGCTGTCTTTTTAGTGCATATCAACCACATGGCTCAATAGACATGAGTTTTTCCTCCAGACATAATAGCAGTTACCTAGAGCAAGGGTCCTCAGTTGTAGAACCTGTGGGCCCTTTTTGAGTTTTGAGAACAGGCAGTGGGAGCCATAATAAATGGCTGCCATGGTGGTGGTGGTGGGGGGGAGAGAATCATGCATAAAATGTCTGCTGGAAAGGGCTGGGTCCAATCAGAAAACACTGAGAGGTTCTACAGAATGTTAGGAGGTCCCAAGGCATGCATCCTCCTATGATGGAGGCCTCTGTTTCCATGTGGGTAACCCTGGGCTCCTTTGAAGTCCTTCCTATTCCAATGAAGTAGAGAAAAGTCTGAATTGGCTGTTTCCTTTGGGGAAGAGATGCAGAAGAAGCAGAATGGGCAGGAAACACACAGTTGGGTGCCATGGCACCCATGAATACCATGTTAGGTGCCCATGCCGTATCAATCATAACAATAAATACTAGATAGGCCCAGGAGTGGAATACAAATCAATATCAGCATGGAGAAATCCTGTCTATATCTGGGTCCACATCTCATTCTTCTGTATTGGATACTATGCTACGAGGATAGTTTATACATTGTTTTTCAAGTCCAAGTTTCATTGAGACCCAGATGTTCGTAGCTGTTTGATCTTTGTTTTTCTCTTTGCAGAGAATATCTAAATACTCATTACAGCAGTGGAAAACCCCCTATAAAATTTTATGAGTTCTGGCCTTGAATCCTAGTTTCTACAGTCTTGGTTGTGCTCCCTTTGTCGCGATCCAAATGCAATGGAGATTTGACACTAGTGTGTAAATAACAGCAAGAGCTAGAATGCAGAAAAATCCAGCCTGTAGAGAAATATGTTTTCCATGAAGGCCAGCACGCAGATCACAGCTAGTTACCATGTGTGGCTGCTCTATTAAGTAAAATGAGAGAGGAGAGAATCTCCCTTTGAACACAATAGGGATTTGTTCTTGATGGTGACCTTTCAAAACTATTGTGTAAATAATAGTAAAGACATAAATAGCTTGGTAGAAGACGCTGCTAAATACAGAGCTATATGCTTTAGAGGATTGGCAGCATGTGGTGGCTTCATTAAAGCACACAAAAGGAGAAACCAAGCTGATAAGCCAATTTTGAAGTCCAGAACCAATATTTTAAAATGGACGTACTGGGGTTGTTTCTCATTTTTGCACTTTTAGCCCAGGCTTGTCATTTCAACCTCTCTTAGAGACAGTCCCTACATTAAGCAGAATGAAGTGCTATGCGGGGTTTTAACTAATGTTTTTAGTGCTTTCTTTTTATAATTTTTTGTAAGCCACCTTGGACAGGTTCCTGGAGATGTAGCATAAAAAATTCTAAGTAAAATAATAAATACAATTCTTCCTGGACATTACCACATCAGGCTGCTGATTTACAAACAACCACCAAACAATTTCCAATTCTACACACAGGAAAAACAGTCTGAGCAGCAGAAACTGGACCCTCCACACTAAGAGGTTACTTTTGAATGTACAAAGATTTCTTTGAAATAGTAGATCATACAAAAGCATGCATCCGTGAACACTGAAGTGGTACAGTTCAGAAAAACATTACCATGATTCTGCTGAATGTATGGCCCTTAGAATTCGCCCAACTCACTGACAGGGGAATCCTATGAAGAGTGACTCCAGTCTAAGTGAAGTCAATGAATTTAGATGTGAGTAACTCAAGTGGTTAAGACGCTGAACTGCAGATCAGAAGGTCCGTAGTTCAGCAGTTCGAGACCCGAGTGCCGCATGGCAGAGTGAGCTCCCCGTCTCTGGTCCCAGCTCCTGCCAACCTAGCAGTTTGAAAGCAAGAAATTGCAAGTAGATAAATAGGTACCACTTTGGTGGGAAGGTAACAGCATTCCGTGTGCCTCGGCGTTTAGTCATGCCGGCCACATGACCATGGAAACATCTTTGGACAGCGCTGGCTCTTCGACTTGGAAACGGAGATGAGCACCGCATCCCTAGAGTCAGATTCGACTTGCTTTCGAGCAAGGGAAACCCTTACCTTTACCTTTACCTAACTCTGCATAGGATTTTACTGTCAGTGTAGAGAATAAATCAAACACACTACAGTCTTTGACTGGTTTCACCAATATCCTTTCTTTCAGAAAATCCTGAGAACTGTCGGTCTGCAAGACAAAGTAGTGTGTGTCTGTGGGACTAGTGTGTGACTCTCCCTAGTCACCAACTATAATTCCCATGTTTCTTTGTGGGAAGGCATGATGGTGGTATAAAACCAATACAGCTTTGTAATCTAGAAATGCTCTAAGGGATGTTTTGATCTGACAAAGTGAGCTTTGACCCACAAAAGTTTATATCCTGGAAATGTTGTAGATCTCTAAGGTGCTACTGGGCTTGGATTTTGTTTTGAAATGGAAAGGCCAGCTCTATTGATACTTGCAAACCACACAGAGACACTGCCATTTCCTACCCTGGCTATTACCAGCCCCAGCTGGCTACATCACAAGGCACATGGTAGAAATTCAGAAATGACAGTGCCATAGTTAGTGCCATACTAGTAATATCCCTTCTTTGAGCTAATTTCAGTCCCATTCCCTTCTTTAGTGCCATTACCATTGGTGGGGGAAACTGCCTCCTAGAAATGCTTTGACCCACCCATGGTGTGATCATGCCCAAGTGCTGAAAGTCTAAATCCCTCACCCTTGGGCAGGCATCTTCTCCCTGTTGTCCCACTAGGATATACAGGAGCTCATCTTTCTCCAGCTGGAAATTGGCTGAAATAAAGATCCCATGGGATCGCTTGTTGTGGTTCTTGGCTCCTTTTCCTCCAGCTGCTCCGTATGCTGAAACCCTGGGGGGGAAAGCCACAGCAATTAGGAAGAAACTGTACCGCATCACAGCCAGCTGCAAAATTGGGTCCAGATGCAATCTCCCCACACCAAGCCAATGTTTCCCGGGGTCACATAAAAGCCTTCAAAGTGACTTGGACTATGCGCTGCCAGAGTAGGCTGTGGCAGTAGAACACCAGGTTGGATCCAGCGATTCCCTTTTGCTAATCAGAAGTTTATCAATGAGAGAAGGAAGGCCAAATTCTCACTTAACAAAATGAAGTCATCTGATCCAAGCCCCTCCCATCAAGAGCAGTGACTGCCCTTACCATCAAATGGCTCAAGACCTTCTTTAGGACAGTGCTTTAGGGGAAAAACAGAAGCGCTTTCCTTTTTCTATACACCTTAACGCAGAGAGTTCTGTTTTTCCAGGAATGCAAGGGCTGAAGAAAAGGTGGTGGTGCTGGTGCTATAGACAGGGTAGAGTACAAAGTCGCTAGGAGAGCTAGGAAAGTAGCTATTAGTGGGTGCAAGGGCAGGGTAGACGTATAACTGGGTTCGTTTACCAGCCTATCAAGACCAGTGTTCCCTCTAAGCTGAGTTAGTGTGAGCTAGCACACAGTTTTTTAGCCTCCGGCTCACATATTTTTATCTTCGTCCAGGAAGGATGGCTCCAGAGCAAACTAATTTATGCAGTAGCCAAATTGCTCACTCACAACTTTAATGCCAGTCGCTCACAAAGTAGAATTTTTGCTTGCAAGACTCCACAGCTTAGAGGGAACATTAATCAAGACTGCTGCTGAGGAAGGCATTGGCAAACAATCTCTGCTTCTCACTTTCCTTGAAAGCCCCTTGCTGGGGTCACCATAAGTTGGTTGCGATTTGACAGGAGGTGAGAGATGACAGCCAACAAAGCAGTGCCATCAACAAACCTGGTGTTGTGTAATGGTTAAAAGAGTGAGCTATGAAGCAGAAAACCTTCAAATCACACTTCAGGCCAATACTTACTTGGTAACTTCTGCCATGGATGAGAGCAGAGGGGGTTGACATTTATTGAGATTGACCAGTGGTTGCGGTGAAGCTGGGGCTTCCTGCCAGACAAGGCATGGTTTTCATAGCCAGGAGTGAAAACACAAGAGTCTCTTTGATATACTAGGATTTCTCTATTGGCTGAATAGGTTCCGGTGAGTTGTTGCTGCCAGAATGCATGGCCCAGATTGGCTAAGACCTTTTTACGCAGGTGGGGTGTGTGTGAAAAGGAGCTGTTCCTTCAGTGTGTGGGGATATACCGCTTCCTCTGTATGCATAGACCCATCTGAATTTCCCAACAAGGAGTGGAGATCAGATGCTCAGGTATTGTAAATTCCTAGTTAGGTTAGCCATCTTTCTCTGTTTCATTTCTTTTATAAGTCTACCTCATAATTCTGTAGTCAATATTCACTTTGGAATTATGCCAGCAGAATAAAGTTAGCATATGTTTAAGTGCTAAGCGATTGCCTTGATTCCTACCTGCATGCCTCAAGGAGGCTGATGTTACCAAAGCAGCTCTGGTCAGATGCTCCCCATGGCACCAAACTGGAGGTGATAGCAGCTACCGAAAGGAAGTGCTGTAAACCTTCTTAAGAAGGGCTGGAGGGAAGAGATGGATTCCTACTGGGAAGAGTGGGTTTACCTCAACCAAAATAACTCCCTCCCTAGCTTCTGAGCAGGGCTGGGTCTTGCTCATTGCGCATGGGCTGTTTGCCAAAGCTGAGAGTGAGGGTGGTCTGTTGGGCAGTGGAGTGGAAACATTACAACATTAAGCAAGCTATTGTCTTATTACTATCCCACCAGTTATCCGCATATTTGTACTATGGAAATAACTGCACCGGTGAACTCAATTGAGATATTGTATTTTAAGTGCTTTGAATGCTTGTTAAGTGCTACTAAAAGGCTAAGTATTACTATTATCACTACCTGACAACGATACTCACGTGTATCGATTTGATGCTGGCACTTTCCACACTTGCACCCCTCGTAAGTGTCCCTCTTTCTCCACCGTCACTGAAATATTGGTGTTGTAATAGGCACTGTCACACTGTGCTTGAGTCGGCCCTCGAGGCCCGCTAGCTCCACAAGCTGTGAAACACCAGTGAACAACAGGCGCTTCTTCTACAACATCAAAGGAAATCTGGAGTTGGAACTGAGGTGTCAGCTTCCCAGTTCCACAGGCTCATGCCATATCCACACAACGGGCCCATCATAAATCCCCCCACAGATAGCTGAGTATTTTTTAAAAAGAAGTTATGTCCTCTACGCTGTTTTCCTGATGCAAATCTCTTCTCTCCCCCAGCTGCTATTTATCCGGGGGGGGGGGGGGGACACACAAGCACTATATAGGCCCCTCAAGAAGTAAACCGCACCAACAAGGACATGAAAGTGGCATAGGGGAAAATAATTCCATTCACCTCAGGGCCAAGACCATGATTTGAATCCCTCTCCACCTGCCATGGCTGTTATTAGCCCTTTTAAAACAGCAGCTCTTTCAGATCCCATCTGATTTTGGCCCTTGGCAGTAAGCTAGTGACAAAGTAATATTGTAAATACATAGTGGGTAAACAAGTCACCTAAAGGAAGGGGTTCCTCCAATGGGTTATATATGTTCATTTCCCATGGATAGTGTTGCTTTCCATCAGGGTGGCTTTGTCTTCTTCCTGCCACAATTTGGGAATGAATGAGAGGGGGGGGGGCGAGAAGAGAAATGGAGAGGATTCAGACAGAGAATTAGCCAAACCATTCTGCTGAAACCAAGGCAGTTCTATCTACAAGGCTACAGAAAAACAGGACAACAATACAATGTGGATGTCATTTGACTGTACTTACTACAACTATATAGAAATTAATAAAGGGTCAAATTAAAGCACAGAATGAGTAGATTTGCCCCCAGTCTCCCTGAAACTACACCAAAAATGCTACAACTTTTCCCAACCCCCCCACCCAAATTATAGGACCTGAAAAGGGTACAAAAACTATAAGCTATAGTATGTTAGATCTCTCTAGCCATTTACTGAGCTGCTTTGATACCACAGAAGCCTGGCTGTCAGAGAAATTAACCCCAACTAGCTGTTTCCAGAGTTACTGTGATATAATGGGATGCTCACATACATTGTAACTACTAAGATGTTAAACTGTTAGCACAAACAGCATAATAATGCAAAGAACTATGAACTCCTGCTAGAAACGGGTGCAGAAATCCAAGAAGGGAAACCACAAAATCCTATCCCTGTGTGGAAGACACCCTTGTTTGTAAGTAACCACTATATATTCTTCACACACACCCTATTTGCACAGTCATCCTCTTGCTGATTTGGCTGGAGCCTTTTGTTGTTTTTTACAATATTATGATGTTGTAATGTTACTGCACATGCACAAAAAAAAGAGGAGGTTCCGTCACTGATGAAGTACATGACAACAGAGCTCTACAACCCCTTTTCAAAGGAAGTGTGGGGATGATTGGATTTGAATTCAAGTAAAAAATTCCCCCAGATAAACTGAACAAAATAACAATGACATTTATATGGCAAGGGAAGAAACCGAGAATAAAATTGAAGGCACTACAGGACTTTAAACAGAATGCAGGCTTTTGTCTTCCAGACTGGGGAACATATTATAAAGCCTGTGCATTGACATGTATTAAAGAATGGATAAGAATGGAAAATACTAGACTACTAAAATTGGAGGGACATTATTTAAAGCTAGGATGGCATGCCTATCTTTGGTATCAAAAAGTGGACAATCACAAATATTTTAAAAGTCATTTGGTGAGGAAAGCACTGCTGTTAATATGGTAAAGAATCAGACATAAAATATATGTGAAGATTCTGAAATGGGTCTGTAACGATTCCTTGTTTTATGAGAGTGCGTGTGCCTTTAAATGCTTGGTTGAAGTGCATGGTGTTAGCAGACTAGAATGATTGGGAGAGAGAAATGTGCTGTGATTGGTGGATGACAGAGTGTGGGAAGGTTTTTTGAAGTGAATCTGTGTGGGTGTGTCAGAGTGTCAGTTATGAAAGACAGTCAGTTAGTGAGAAAGCAGTGGAGTTGAAAAAGTTCAGTTGATGTTGTTCAGAGTGAGAGTTCAGTTTGTTTTGTGTGATATCTGAAAGAGAGAGCAGCATATATCTTTAATAGTGAATCTTTAAAGTTCTTAAAGAAGTTACATTTACCAAGAAATTAAACTGTGTGTTCGCCTAAGTGAGAGATTCCTGTCAGGACTAAAACTGACAGAGTGTGTGATACAGTTGACAAATATATTTACAAGAACCTCATTCCCAGCCAGTTACATAATAACCAATCTCTTATTTTGTTCCTCTTTCAATAAATCCTATTTTATTTAAATATATCCCAGAAGTCATATCAATTCTTCCTCAGGACCACATTATATCCTTGAAAGACTACACCCCGTGTTACAATACCAACACCAGAGGCAAAGAGGGGATTTTGAATTTATTAAAATTCCTGGTGGCAGCTGGAACTACCTATTTTGTAAAGACAAAATATGAATATTAAAGAGAAATACAGTCCTCCCCAATAAGAGAATGTCACAGGGTCTCTCCGGTGGAAGCATTTACTCAACCTATATTATTGGAGGAGAAAAAAGTAGCTAGATACAAAGATTTATTAGGAGAGGAAGACAGGTTGAAGTCCAAAGAAGAATTAGAGGAACAAGATATATGTTTGAATTGGTGGACAAGAGTACAGTTAGACTCTGGATATGCTAAAGACAAACCTCAGGGGTTTGATGCAGAACAATTGGTGTTTGATACACTTTTATATGAAACAAATGATAAATTAATTAAGAAATTTTATGTGTATTTGTTACAGATAAAAATGTTTTTGCTTAATATTATGCCTGATGTGAAAGATAAGAAAGCTAAGCACTTAATTATACATATAGTTACAGCAGCAACAATTCTTTATGCTAAGTACTGGAAGAAATCAGAGATACCAACAGAAAATGAACTTTTAACAAAAAAATTGAAACAGCAGAAATGGATATATTATTGGACTTGTTAAAAGACTGAAGCAAACAAAATGTGAGGGACAACTGGATACCATTCTATGACTAGGTGGAAAAAAACTTCGAAGACCAGGAGTAATGGATACAACCAGTGCTATTTTTGGGCCGGAACGCCCCAGAATGGTGTTCTGGCTGGCTTCCGAGTCAGCTCACTGGCCTGCCCTGGGCCCGTCCCAAGGGCCTGCAGTAGACCTGAAGACCCCACCCGCTGGCCTTCCTGGGCCCACGCCGAGGTGCTGTGGCCCGTGGGAGGCCCAAAGACCCCGCCCATTGGCCTTCCCGGGCCGAAGCAGAGGTGCTGTGGCCCGCAGGAGGCCCGAAGACCCAGCTTGCAAGAGGCGTGAGGCCCAAAGACCCCGCCCACCGGCATTCCCGGGCCCGTGCTGAGGCACTGGGGCCCATGGGAGGCCCGAAGACCCCACCCACTGACCTTCCTGGGCCTGCACCAAGGTGCTGGGGGCTGCGGGAGGCCCGAAGACCCTGCCTGCCGGCCTCCCTGTGCCCCTGCCTGCCGGCCTCCCTGTGCCCCTGCCTGAAGAGCTTGATTGGGGTGAGTGAGGGATCTGCGGGGGTGGTGGGTGGCGGGGGCTTGATGGGGGTGGGAGAGGCTCCCTCCCCATCTCTTTGCCTTCTTTCTTTCCCTCTTTTCCTCCTTCTTCCCTCCTCCTTTCCTTCTTTCTTTCCCTCCCTCCTTCTTTCTTTCTTTCCTTCTTTCCCTCCTTCCCTCCTCCTTTCCTTCTCTCTTTCTTTCCCTCCTTTCCTTCTCTCCTTTTTCTCTTTCCCACACCGAGCTCCCCGCAAATCCCCGTGATGAATGGTGGGCTGGGAACCTCCCAAGACCCCAAACCCCTCCCTCAGCGACCACCCCAGGGCCGGGTGGGAGGAATCCGGATCAACAGAGGTTGGGGAAACAGAATGGCAAGGGGCATGTTGGGAATGGACTGAGACACGAAGAGGGGAGAGTGCGGTTGCGAGAGCGAGACAGGTAGCAGGTTCCAGCCTTGCCCCTGAGACGTGCTGGAGCCGGGGACGCCGGCGTTGGCCCCGTCACACACACCGGATGTAGGCACTCCCTCACCCAAACATCCTTAGTTATACAGGGAGGTGGGATGAAGGAACAGGAAGTAACAGGGGATAGGAGATCACGGTGATGGGCAGGCGATGTAGCCTATCGGATTAGTAATCACCAGAAGGGGATGGCCCAGAGGGGGAAGAGGGACTATATAAAGGTGGAAACGGAAGAGTGCCAGGGAGGAATTGAGGGCTGACTCGGAGGCAACAGAGAGAGCGAAAAGAGGTCGGTCTGGAGAAGGCAGCTGGGTGTGATGTAACCCCAGCCCTTCTCCAAGACATTTGGGGGGGGGGTTCACTGTAGTTGAATGGATGGCATTTCTAACTTCCTGGAGCAATTCTGGAAATGAAAGTAAAGCACAGACTGAGAGTCTATTCCAAGGCAGTTATAATTAATAACAAAGGGTCTGATGTGTACAAGAAACTATGAACCTCTCTTAGAAGATGAGACTTGTGGTCATTCTCTCCCCCCACCCCATTGCTTAAGCATCATGCTGAGGACTCTGATGCATCTTTATTCTTCTGGGTTGTCCATTGCTTGTGAATGTGGCCTAATATGCTAATGAGCTGTGCTGTCATGGTGTGGCCTAATATGCTAATGAGTTTCTGCTGTTGGGTGTGGCCTATTATGCTAATGAGTTCCTGCTGGGCTTTTTCTACAAAAAGAGCCCTGGATACAACTATTATAGACTTAGAGAAGCTCTAGCTTGAACTGTAAAGAATCTGACTTTTTTCAGGAACCACAACAGAAGGTTTTAGCAAATTAAGTGTTACTAGTTTTAGTAATTATATAAACAAAAGAGATCTGTAAACAAAAAATTAAGATGGAAAATTTGTAACACCTTTTATATAAACTTGATGGAATTTCCCATGATGTCTTATCCCATTCCCCTGTACCCTTCCTGCCCTATAATGTGTTAAAACCAAATAAAAATGTATAATAAAAAAAATCACGCAAATAAATGCCATTTGCAGAAGGGGTGCTACAAAGTCAGAGCATCAGCTAGGCATTCAGCTCACTGGGAAACAGCAGCAACACTGAGATGCAGAAAAGGTCTTAAATGGAAAGATACCATAGCAAGGGCATTTTAACCATATGCCTGTCTTACATCTAAATATCATTTGTAGGACTGTTTTCCACCAAATCAACCAGCCTGAGAGAGAATTAGCCCCAGTACAAAGCACTTTCAGATAATTAACTTTTTTCTGAGAGCAAGTCCTGGCAGATAGATCAGTGATGGCTGGGACAGATCAGTAGATGAGAGACCTTCCTATGTCCCCACCTGGAGATTGTAGCACTATATAGAAGGCTACTTGTCCTGGATGGTTTCCAAACTAAATGGTCAGACAGACTGTGTGGTGTCCTCTTATTTGGGGAGAACTGGTTTTCACTTTAAATTATACTTTGTGTTCACAAAGAGGGTAGTTTCTGCTGCCACCAGGAATTTAAGGAATTCCAAACCTTCTCTCCTTTGCTGCTGGTAAAGTGACCCAGAGTCTGGGCTTTTCAGGGATCTATGTGGTCCTGAGGAAAGATAGAACTGAATTCTGGGATAATCTTGAATAAAAGATGATTTATTGAAATAAGAACAAAATATGAGGCTGGTTTATCTGTAACTGGTTGGGAATATGTAAATATTGTAAATATGTCTGGCAAATGTATCACACACACAGTCCTTTTTTTAAACACTCAGATCCAACACTAACAGGAATCCCTCTTTCCTATAGGCAGTCACACTGGCGTAGCTCTTTGCACTATAGGTTCTCTTTCACCACTCTATTTATTTATTTTATTTATTGATTTATTTTTGAATTTATACCCCGCCCTCCCCGAAGGCTCAGGGCGGCTCACAAGGGGCATAAATGCCCAAGTTAAAACATTAAAACAATACAGAATAATATAAAATACAACAATACAATTCACTAAAATATACTTTACGGTGTTCCAAAATTATTTAACTATAAAAGTTCAAGATGGGATTCTAAAATTATTAACAAGCAACAGTAATAACAATAAATATAGCAGCAACAATATATGTCCCTACAGCGTTGACCTCTGCCAGGCATGTCTCGCACCCCCAATAGTCCCTGCTCTGAAGATGGTCAATTTGCGGGACTACTGAGGGGGGTGTAGATAGAATGATGGTGACGATGGTGACATAATGATGATGGCATAATGATGGTAGTGGCGGCGGCTCCTACTCAAAAGCCTGGCGGAAGAGCTCCGTTTTACAGGCCCCGCGGAACTGCACCAAGTCCCGCAGGGCCCGGATCTCTTCTGGGAGCTCATTCCACCAGGTAGGAGCTGCCACCGAGAATGCCCTAGCCCTGGTAACCGCAAATTTGATGTTTCTGGGGCCTGGAATGTCCAGGAGATTTTGGTTCCCCGACCGTAGTGCCCTTGGGGGTCTCACAGACCCTTTTCATAGCTCCTTCACAACTTTAGCTTTTACAGACTTGTATTCTGAACTCTTTACTCTATAAGTTTTCACACAGACTCCATCAGCTCACTCACTGACTCACTAACTGAATATCAACTCAAAATGCCAACTGATTTCTCTAACTGAATTTCATAACTGACTTCAAGACACACACAGAGATTCAACATTTAAAGAGACACACACTCTCTAAAACAAGGAATCATTACAGACCGTTTTTCTAATAAAGTATCAGACTGACAACTATGACCAAAACCCAAATTAATACAAAATAAACTATCTGGATGAAAGGAAAACCAAATTAAGTTATTCTATGAGTACAGAGGTTCTTGGTCTTCTTGCCCTTCAATAGCACTTATTAGGAAACTAAAGGTCACAGTCTCCTTCCAACTCAGCTGCTGACACACAAAGTCATACAATAAACCCAGTCACTTCAACAGGATGTAAATCACTCCACAGAACACAGCCTTGAACAGTATTGCTGGCCTGATCTTTAGCACAGCAGCAGCCCAGTGGCTGCCCTGAGGCAGTTCTCCATACAAATGGTCTTTCCTCCTTCTACAAACACCCTCAAATTCTTGGTTCTTTCCCCCCCCCCCCCCCCCCCCACCCCCCCGCACACACACCAGAGCCTGGTGGTACATGAACTGTGGAGGCCCACTGACTTCCATCTGACGATCTGGGAAAGGTCATTGCATCACTTTCATACAAACTAACAGCAGCTATCTCTGTATAGGCCAGGAGCCACCAAACTGAAGGAGCTATGTCAAAAGCAGGTCAGTATGACTGAACCCCAGTTGCTGTATGGTGTGGGCCCATACAACAATAGGACTCAGCACCTTTTGGCACAAGTTTGTGCACAACTTAAATAAATACAGTGCCAAAAATATTGTTCTTGCTACTCTCATTTGCTAAACAACAACAATATTTTTAAAAGATGCAACATCAAAAACAGTTTTTAGGCCCAGTTGTAATATCTGCCAATATCTGACAACCATTTCAAAGATTCTTCCACAAGCTACCAATATCATGAAAGTGAACCCCTAAAGCATACATGCTGAGTTATGCTTAGGAGAGGCCAGACAGCTCCCATCCACTTTTGGAATTGCTGCATGGCTACAGCCAGAGAGCTGCCATTTTGGCTTACAGAAAGGTAAATCCCTGACTTCTCCACAGTTTATCATATACGCCTTATTCAGAAGCTGCTCACAAGTGCTTGCCAAGTGCCTCTAACATCAGTTTAAAAACAGTAAATTAAGGTTCTGCTATCAGCAGCTGTTTGCCTGTTGTACAACATTCCCTCAGGAGACATGCACATCCTATGATGTTCAATGGCAAGTTATGAATACAGAGTGTGGAAGACGGCAACAAGTTAGGAAACAAGTTAACAGACAAAACTGAATGCAGTGCTAAGGAAAAACCAGAGCAGCCATTGTGCTGCTCGGTCGTCAAGGCCTGGCTCAGAACACTAAACCAAGAAAGAGAAACAAAGAATCAGTGGAACATTTTGGTCTTCCCAATAAGGAAGAACATAGGCTGATCAGACTGTGTGTTGGCATGGTGCTGTGGCAGGGTGATTTCATTCTCTGCCCCCTGGTCTGAATTCTGAAAGCCTACAGTTCAGGCCCTGCTATGCCTGTTGATCTTTCCACCTCATCTCTTCAAACACAGGGATACACAGTTCCTATATAACATTCTCAAGGGTGGTGAATTGCACAGCCGGAACATATAAGAAAATCAGCATTTCCATCTTAACCAAGAAGTGAATTGCTCTTTCCTGCTTTCTGTGCTTCCTTCTTTCCTCTCTTCCACAAAGCTCCCAATATAACCTCCCTTGCCTGGCTATTAATTGGATCTGTCAGTGACATCTGAAACTTCTCCTGGCAAAGAGAGAAGTAATTTTATTACTGAAAGTAAAGCAGAGCTGCTGGGCTTCTCCAAGATCTAATTGAATTAAAAGGATGAGATGATGAATGAAATGGCTTGTACTCAGAGGCAAAACAATGCCAGTTTACAGGAATTCAGCTGAGAGTTATGAACTCAAGTATTTCAAGAAACACGTATATCTTTATCTGCATAGTGTGTCAAAGATAAATACACACGTGCCCTGACCTGGATAGCCCCGGCAAGCCCCATCTCATTAGATCTCAGAAACTAAGCAGAGGTGACCCTGGAGAGTACATGGAAAGGCGACCTCCACGGAATACCAGGGCCGGGGACACAGAAGCAGGCAATAGCAAGCCACCTCTCTGAAACATCCAAGCCCAACTAAGGGTTGCCAGAAGTCAACCATGACTTCCAGGCACACACACGCACAAAATACACACAAAAAAGATATACACGTGTCCCTGTTTTCTAGTACCTCAGCTGGTCTGTATTCAATCTGTTTTTCCTTCTGAGGATGCCTTTTAAAAATTTTGTTAGTATGTACATACATGCACCAATTTTCTTCGGATTTCAGCTGTCTTTCTTCTCTAGAAGTTACTGTCCCCGCCCCCAATAATTCAAAATGCCACAGCCCAAACATGGCCTTTTTCAGCTGTGGCATCATGCCTCTTGAATGGCCTCCCCTGGAGCTCAGTATGGCTCCCATGCAGGCCCAATTCCAATGTCTCTCCAGGGCTGTTGGGCTTTTGATAAGTGGGTGAATTAATCACTGCAGTCTCTGTGGTCAGGGAGTAGGGTTGCCAGCCTCCAGGTGGGGCCTGGAGATCTCCCACTTTTACAACTGATCCCCAGCTGACAGAGATCAGCTCCCCTGGAGAAAATGGCTGCTTTGAAGGGTGGACTCTACGGCATTGTACCCTGCTGAGGCCCCTCCCCTCCCCAAACCCCACCCTCTCCTGGATCCACCCTCAAAATCTCCAGGTATTTTCCAACCCAGACCTGGCAACCCTATCAGGGAGGGAGCTGTGTATCAATGCTTTTAGCTTATAATTGATTATTTCTTACACTAGTTTGTCTATTCATAATATACTGCTGGTGACTATTTGTGTTGTAAGCAGTTTTCAGTTGTTGTTGATGGCAAAAAGGTAGGATACAAGTAGTTTAATGCAAACGAATGAATGAATGAATGAATGAATGAATGAATGAATGAATTGGCACAACGACTACCTAGTCGAAACTTTCATAATTATAAATAACTTACCATCAGGGAAGCAGTCTAGACCAAAGGTAACGTTGTCCACAGCGATGTCAGCATGTGAATCCCAGCCCCAGGTGGCTAGGAACTGCAGATGAAACCTTCATCAGAAGATATTTTTTGGAGAAGACATACAAAGAGAGAACAATATATTGGAAATAAAACCAACACATCCAAAGTTGTAGAATGAATCAGATTCTTTCTTTTGGATTCTTAAAGTATTCCATAAGGACAAGCAACTCACACAGGAAAAGTGCAAATAAACAATTTGACAAAAGCAATTGTGTTCCATACACTGTCACATTTATCAGGCTCTATAAGGAAGAACAGATTATTAAGTTAGGCGGCAGGAAACATATTTGAACAAATGGGAACCCACAAGGACTTGTGGGAGGCATCTCACTCCCCCCTCTCCCATTATTTTCTCTTTCCATTTCCTGAAAGCCCCCACAGATTCTCTTCTCTTCCTGCTTCCTTTTCTCCTTCTAGGTGGGGGCTGGAGATCTCCCAGAATCACAGCAGATCTCCCAAGTACAGAGATCAGTTCCCTGACTTAGGGTTGCCAGCTCCAGGCTGGGAAATTCACTTGTAATAAATCCCAAAGGGCCCTGATCTCCCCTGGGAGCTTGTTCCACCAAAGTGGGGCTGCTACTGAGAAAGCTCTAGCCCTAGTTGTGGCCAGCCTAGCATCTTTTGGGCTGGGGGGAACCAGGATTACAATATACATTACATCTTTGCATCCTTTATAACTCTCCTCCCACCTTCTGACTTGGATAAATCTACATTTCTACTCTACTGTGTCTGACAAAGAGAGCATTGATTCTTGAAAGCTTTTATACTCCCAAACTCTTGTTGGTCTCTAAGGTGCTACTGGACTCAAATCTAATTATTCTCCTGCAGACCAACATGGCTACCCTCTGAAGCTAAGTTGGTAAGTAGCACTATCATTGATTACAGCAGGCTGGTGCTAGATAACAACAGTGGCAGCAGTGGCACTCCTTAACATTAGTCTGCTTAATTAAGAGGACCAAGATCAATAATGCAATGAATTAAGACCACTTTGCATACACTACTAATTAAGGGTGGCTAAAAATAGGCTCCTGAAGGTTTTCTTCTTAAAGGATATAAGCTGAATTGTCCTGATGTAATACCATAAACAAATGCTTAAATATGGCCTCGGCCACCCGGGCAGGAAAATGCGGGGTGGGGGGAGGCGTGGCTGTTTGCCCCGGAGCAAACTAACGCGTGACTGCACGATCAGGCGTCGGGTTGAGGTCCCGTCCAGCTCCCGTGGTTAGGGGGGAGGTGCCGATCAGACAATGCGGCAAAGAAGCGGAGCGGCGCACCAAACGGGGTTGTGTTTTGTTTTTAAAACTGAAATGTGCGCATGCTCCGTTGGGTGCTTGTGCGCATCCGTGGAGACTTGGGGGGGGACTTTTTGCGAGGGGACATGGGCGGGCGCCAGAACTACCACCGGAAACGCGATCAGACGCCTGCTCTTGCCCCGCGGTTTCCGGAAACTAGTACCTCCGAGGTACTAGTTTTTTACCTTGCATCTTTGGCAGGAAGCCTCGGGGGCGCTACGGGAGCTCTATGCTTCCCAGATGTGGCGGTGAAATCGCACCTGGAAAATCCGCCTATCTTCCATCTCTCTAGTGTGCCTAATGCTCCGTGTGACCGGGGCCTAAGTAGAACATCTAGAGCATATTAAAAGCACCTGGGACACCAGGACTGCCTGTGCTGGTGAGAACCTACAAAGTGCCCAGCTACATCAGACAAGTGGTCCATCTAGTCCAGCCTCCTATTTCACACAGTAGCCAACCAGTTGTCCTGGAGATCCAACAAACAGGACACGTAAGACAAAACCTTCTTATGATGTAGACTCTTAGCACAGGTATTCAAAGATTTACTGCCCCAGCACATGAGGAACATCATGGCCAATAGTCATTATTAGATCTATTGTCCATGAATCTGTCTAATTCCCTTTTCAAGTAATCTATACTTTAAAGTAATCTACATCACTATGCCCACTGGCAGTTAAATCCATAATTTAATTACTCGTTGAGTAAAGAAGAACTTTTTCTTGTCCATCCTGAACATATTGCCCATCAATCTCCAGTATTAAGGGAAAGGAGAGAAAGAAAAATGCTTTCTGTACCCATGCATAATTTTATCACATATATCATGATCCCCTTAGGTGTCTTTTTTCTAAACTGAAAAGTCTCAGACTCTTTAGCTTTTCCTTACGTGAAAGGTCTCCAACCCCTTAATCACCTCAGTCGTCCTCTTATGCACCTTTCCCAACATCTCAATATCTGTTTAATGGTAATGGAGAAATCTTGTGATTTATGTAGGGATAGTGCAGTGATACCAAAAGCACATCCTCCTTAATGTATTATCCAACTAGAAAACAGCATTGCTGTAAATTTATTGCTGTGTATTTATTGTACTGTTTTTATGATGTAACCCGCCCTGAGCCCGCTTACGGGATGGGCGGGCTATAAATACAAATAATAAATAATATAAATAATAAATAAATAAATGGAACAGTGACATTCTAAAAAAAAAAAAAAAAGACAGACTAGACAAAAGCTGGGCCAGGCCAACATCTCATTTGCAAACAAAGCCCTAGCATACAATATACTAGGCCTTTATATAGAAATCAATGGTCGATTAATAAAGCCAATACCACTCCTAGGGCCATTTTGGCTTGGGGGAAAAGCATGCAAGAGAAGGCAGGAGCCCCTCTTTCCCCACACAGTGGTCCTAAGCAGAAACAGGCCCTATGGCTCTTTAAAAGGCAGTTATCCACTCTAGCGAATGCAGGGTGGGTTTCGGACTCATTAAAAGTCGTTAACATTTCATTTGAGCCTTAGTTAAGTGTCTAGGTCTGAGGGTTTCTTTAAACTGGACATAGAATCAAAGAAGCCAGCAGCTCTTAGAAGTGAGAGGTGGTCGAAGGGAGGAAGTTTCCTTGTACTCAAAGTACTTTAACATGGGTATGGGCTTGACCTGGAAAATAGGCCATATTTACACTGATGTTTATAAGTTTACACATACCATGTGATCACACATGGTAATGAATTGGACTGGATCTGTAAAGCACAAGACACACTGATGGAGTTTATTATTGTTATAATTATATACTGCTGACATTGCTGTGCTTACCTCTTCTGAAGCTCTGGCATTTCTGCAGTTATGAGAAACCAGTGATCACTCCAGGTCCCTTTTCTTTCCCATACCAATGATGAGGCGTTAATACCATCTGCCTCTTCTGAAGCAGACAGTGAAATGGTGCCATTGTAGCGGCCAAATATGTACACTGAGAACTGAACCTAACATGAAAGGTGACAGAGAAATAGACAGAGAGGAGTTGCAAATGAGATCCTTTTCAATATATGAACCAGATTTGAAAAATACAGGCTTCAGTATATATTCTCTAAAACGGCCACAACTGCATGGTACTCATAACGTACAAGTTTACTCCTGTGGCTTTTAGAGGGCAATTTGCATGTAAAGTGGAGGGAGATAAAGGCCACAGGACTCTGCTATATGTATGCTTTTGTATGTGTGAACTAAGCCTATGTCTTCTGATTTTAGACAATTATTCTGAGCACAATAATTCAACCATGTCAGTAAATAATTTGCTGTTCAGATTGAAGGCAGCATAGCTCCATATTTCACAGAAATGGGGACTAAATCAGAAGCTCTGGGTGGATGAAATAGGACATGGTTCCATTGCAGCTGACAAATGTGTGCTTTGTACTGTAATTGTGCTTGCACCAAAATATTCTGTTCAAAACTAGAGTCCTTTCTTCTTCTTCTTCTTTTCCATCCCAGATTATACCAATTCCATAATGAATAGGTAGCTTGAATTGTTAGACATAGGCCCCGGTCACACGGGCCAGATAACGTGGGGGGGAGGAGTGACTGTTTGCGCCGTCGCACTTTGATCCGTGATTATGCGATCAGACACGACAGCGGTGCAGCAGGGTTTCATTGGTTGGCGGCCCCAGCAAAGACGATGGCTGGAGTGGATAGCTGCTCGCCGGCGCGATCACACCACCTGATTCCATTAGCAGTCCGTGACAAATGGGTTGCTACTATTTCTTCGCTGGTATTTTTTAACTGCGGGGTTTTGGTGGGAAACCACGGGTTCGCTACACTTGCCAGATGTGGCGGTGTGATCGCGCATGGATAATCCACCTGGCATCCATGGCTCTCCCGCGGCAAATTCGCCGTGTGAGCGGGGCCGTAGATAAATAGTACAGTATGATATGCTGCCATTCCACATAGATTATTGAGATTTGCAGTGTTTTACATTTCTAAAGAATTAATCTTCTAAGGGCACAGTGGTGATGCAGGTAAAATGGTGGCTGCCTACGGACTGAATGGCTGCCTGAACCTAAGTACCACTCTTAGGAAAAGAGGAAGCACAGCATCCCCTCCAAGCATCCTCATGAAGAGCCCCTGATATGAGTTCATGCTTTGTGCAAATGAAATCACCTTCAGTCAGAAGAGAATCTCTTATCCAGGAATTCAGGAATCAACCTTTTCCTTCTCCATTTTATATCAGATCCGTCTATTCTGCCTCCCACTCATGCCAAATACTGCACCAGGCTCTATTCTGGCAGCCGTACATGTTTAAAATACTTGCTTATCTTATATATAACTTTATCTTCTTCTTGCTTATTTTATATATAACTTTATCTTCCAGACTGGACTACCTGAGATTTCTCAGGAAGCTGTATTAGGCAGACCATGAGAGGGGAGGCAGGAAGGGATGAGCCAGTGCTCGGCTCTTGTGGCCCTTTCTTACATGTTCGGGGTAATACTGATTGCAACCTTGGGGTGAGGAGGAATTTTTTCCATCAGGCCAGAAAGGCCCAGGAATCCTGGGAATTTTTTTTGCCTTCTTCTGGGCATAGAGCAGGGGTCACTGGGGGAGCAGCAGGGGGAGGTAGCTGTGAATTTCCTGCATTGTGCAGGGGGTTGGGTTAGATGACCCGTAAGGTCCCTCGCATTCTTTACCCACTACCAATTTCTGCACCTGTACAGCATGATAATGAAATTGGAGAATACAAATAGCACAGCAGGCAATCCAGTCTTCTGCACTAGACTGAAGGAGGGGGAAATCATCTCCTAGCATCTAACATATATCTGATGCTATGTAAGTGTTATATAGTAGAAGTAGTAGTAAGCACATCAGAATCATTCACAAGGCACAACAAAACCTTCCTCAAGTCAAAGATAATATTGGACTCCATGTTAACGCTAACCTTTAAAAAGATTTCTTATGCTATTCTAATTCATTTCCCCCCATAACTTAAAAGGAAAAATTCACTTTCAGGCTTCAAGAAGGGTTGATTGAAATAGAAATGTTTATAGCCCGAAGAGGTGGAATATACATTTTCTTAGCTACATGCAGTAAAACATCCCCATGCAGTGAAGATCAGTCACACATAGGTAAGAGGACCAACGTACCTGGTAGGCTCCGCTGGTCAGACTGGCTGGCAGACTGGGGCTATATGCTCTGGCAGAAGCATCTGTGTGATCACTGTCTGCACGCAGATACAGCAAGTGACCTGAAAAAGATTTTTCAGCTGAATTTTTGCAGCGGATCTGGGTTTGTACTTTGGATGGGCTCTGTGGAGAATTTGTCCCAGGAAATACTAAAAGTTGTTGAGAGGTACAGTAGATTCTAAAAAGTTCTCACTCTGTCAGGTATCTAGTGTGGTGATTAGATTAATTACACAGTTATGCTCCCTGTAAGCTGTAGAGTCTTGTAAGCAAAAATTATACTTTGTGAGCTACTGGCATTAAAGTTGTGAGCGAGCGATTTGGCTACTGCATCAAGCGGAGCCGGAAAGGACGTTGCTGGGCCGGAAGCAAGGCGGAGCCGCGCGCCTTAGGAAAGAAGATCGCTACTACCGAAGAACGCCGGGAAAGAAGAAGAACATCCGCCAGCCCAGAGACCTACCCGAGCCGAGCCGACAAGAGCAATAACTACAATACAACAACAACCACCACCACCACAGGGGTGCAGGTAGGGTGTCCCGTCCCCGTATATACTGTGGCCCTAGTTAGGGAAATATGGTGATTAGCACCAAAAAATTTGTAAGCCGCTCAGAGACCCCTAGCCAAGGGGTTCGAGCGGGATATCAAGCTGAATGTATAAATAAATTAATTAATTTGCTCTGGAGCCACCCTTCCTGAGCGAAGACAAACGTGCGAGCCAGAGGCTAAAAAACTGTGAGCTAGCTCACACTGACTCAAATTAGAGGGAACACTGGATATGTGGGCTAACAGCTCTCATAGATACCACTCTTGTCACTTGGAAGAGAAAATCTATGCAGCCTTCCTGGATTCTCCGTTCAGCCTGGCTCCCCCTCTTTCTTTGCTCCCCCTTTTCTCTCTGGGTTGCCGCCACCTCCTAGCCTTCAAGAGAGTATCTCTTGCAAAAGGACTAGTATTTCAGTGCCCTTTTACACTGTCACCATTAAAACACTTAGCTCTGCAACTGCATCTCCCATTTGGCTCCTTCCTCTGGCCTCAGTAGGAATTAACAGATGCACAAACGCACCCAGGGAATGATGGGATTAACTTCAGCTCTTCCCCTGGCTTCTGTAGATAAAAGTGTCCAAAAAGTGTGTGGAATGATTCCAGGTCATACAAAATGCATGAAAATTAAAAGGAATGCCTATTTACACAGAAAATCTGGGCAAGGAAAATTAGAATAACCAGAGTTCCTCTGAGCCAATTCTTTACTTATCCCTAAGATGTAAAAGTTAAGGATAGGTTCTTAATTCTTGAAGTTGCGAGGATTCTGAAAGGGTCCATACCTCTGGTTCATGGAAGGGGTATCCTTTCTTTGTTCAACTGTACATGTGGACTAGGCTGTTCTCTTTCTCCTGGTAAGTGCCCCCCCCATTCCCCACCAGTTGCCAGAAGGGACCTGGCAACCCTATGGGCATTTCTCTACCACATATAATCTCTGAATGACACTGGAAGTTCTTACATACATTTACATTAAAGCAATCCAGACACTGGCAGGTACACTAATTAAACAGAGAGGTTGCATCTATCACTGTTAGTCCAAATAGCAGATAAGGGCCCCGGTCACACTGGGGGAAAAGGTGCGGCTGAAGTGCGGCTTTTTTGAGCCGCATCAAAAGAGAAGCACGGCGGTGGGATCAGACAGATCCCCCGAGCTGCCGCGCAGTTGCTCCCTGGCATGATCAGATGTCGGGGGGAAGCCACAGATTGGTGAGCGAGGTGAGCCCGCTGCACATGTATGCACCTGCACAGTTTGGCAGGGGGCCTCGCATGCCGCTGGAGATGGGCACATCAGCGATCACATGGCCACCCCTGCTGTGGATATCTGGTAAGTAGTAGTGTTTTGTAGGGGGTTTTTTGATCCGCATCTTCGGCCGGAAGAGACGGATTGGGGATGGGTGCGCGCCGCTTCCCAGATGTTGTGGTGTGATCGCACCCGCTTGATGCGCCCCCGATCCATTCCTCTCGCGGATCAAAGCCTCCCGTGTGACCGGGGCCAATGACAACAGAACCCATGTGTTCCAATAGTTGGCATCTTTTCCTCAAAGTGTTCTCCTTGTGACTTCTTGTGAAACTGTAGGATTAGCTGTAGGATAATCTGCCATTGGATTCACCATGGGCGATTTCTCACTAGAGCTGCCTCGCAGCACAGCCGCCGTTTGCCCCGACACAAACATGTCAAATTCACACCCGAAGCTCCGGGGCTTCATTTTGACTCGAGGCTTCGCCCGATTTCCTTCGCAGTTTCGTGATCCTGGTTTTTGAGGATCATGAAACTGTGGAGGAAATCGGGCGAAGCCGCGGGTCAAATGCAGCCCCGCAGCTTCGGGTGTGAAATTGACATGTTTGTGTTGGGGCAAACGGCGCTGCGAGACAGCTCTAGTGAGAAATCACCCCATAACAGTTCCTTAGCCCTCCTCTGGTATATTTCAGGGGCTTCCCCATTCTCTCACCATTACTTTCTTCCTCCACCAATTGTTTTGCACAAGAAGAAATGCTGAGCCCAGCCAAGATTTCTCACAGGTCTCTAGCTTGTTTGATACTTTGGTATGGAATATAACCATTTCAAATATGACTAAAACTTCAACTTTGAACAGTACTACTTTACAGCATTGGAATAACTCAGGAAGGATTCAGAAAACATTTGACAGAATTACTCCAAACTTCTTGAAACAATTTTGCCAAAAAGCTATAGGCTACTTCACATATGAAATGTAAGGAAATGTATGACCCAGACTTCCTCTCCTGCCTGTTTCAGCTTTCATGCAAGGGGCAGGTGGGTGGAGATGTGTCTGCCTCCCCATCCCAAATTCTTTGATGTGACCTAGAAGTATAGAGATAGGAACCACAAGTCACACAGTCTCTGTCACTGCTTCATTATTAGAATAGTCCTATATGTCAGTCCAACCTGAAGAATGGCAAAGATGGAGCATACCTACCTTCAGTAGCATGCAAGACAGAGTCTCCATTCAGATCTTCATGCATCTTTGAAAAGCTCTTTATAGACCAGAAAGAATTTGTGTTGCCTTCCAATGTCCAGCCACAGGTACCTTCCTCAAAAGAACAGTGTGCTCCTTCTGAGAGACTTTCTGTGAAGAAGAGTAAGGAGGGGGAGGGGGAGGGGGAGAGAATGAGCATTATGCATTGAACTAGTCTTTCTTTTGTTGAATTTGGCCAGGAAACAAAAGTATGTATGGCTTACATTTCTGCCAAGACATGGCTTTAGGTCTCGTTTCATCCTGTTCTATATACAGTGCCCTGTAATTTAGTCTTCACTGCGATAACAAAGTTTATTTTTACGTAATTATTTTTTTTTGTATTTATATTCTACCATCTATTCTTATGCAAGGTCCCTAAGTCATATTACAATAAAAACAAGAATGTTAAATACAGAGTTTCATGAAACCACAGTAATGTCACATCAAAAAACAATTTACAGTTGAAAGGTTTTGACTGTTGCAGCCTGTGGTGCAGCTGCCAGCTACCTAGCTGAGAAGTAGATGTGGGTACTAGCAAGAAAAGCTGGGACCCAGAGCAGAATGAGACACTGGGTGGCCTCTTCTGGGGAAAGGGTTCTATACAGAGGAGGGAGAGATTGAGCTAAAGGCACTGGAGGCTATGCTGCTCCCACTTGTTCAAGCTGTTTCCCCTTGCCCCCTCCGAGGACAAGAAAGGCAGAAGGGGGTGAATTTGAAAACATCACACAACTAAGCTGACAAATAGAAACCTCCTGAAAGATACAGGCTGTGATCAGACATGCTTTTAGATCTGATATAGCTGCTGAAGCCAGTTGGATCTAAAGGGCACAATCAGACAGCAATATCTGGGGAAAGTTCCGCAGTCGTCGGCACCCCATCTGCCCCACCCCTGAAATGGAGTAAAAAGACACTGGGGAAAGTCCGGTCCTTACACTTGCCAATGAACCACAGACCGATTTTTCTAGCCTGATCACTCAAGCATGCTCTCAGGCCATCAGGATGGTCTGCTCATTCCATCCCGATTGAGCACCATTTCTTTTGCTCGCTTAGCGATATGTGCATAACTGCATAATCATCCCCATCTCTAGGCTAGTTTTGAAAATGAGCAGGAAAGGGAGTGATCTTTGCCAGGCAACCACAGCTCACTGTGAACCAAAGGGATCTCAGTGCCCCATGGAAGGATTGGCATGTGGTTGAAACAGAGACTCGAACCCCGGACGTTGGAAAATGCATGTGCAAAAAACTGCGCCCTTGTTTATGCTCATGCGCAAAAGCAGGCAAAAAACATGCAGCCCCTTGCCTGTCCATGCCATCTGCTTGTGCAGTGACGGGCTGAGCCCACAGCAAAATGGGATGTCTGATCGAGTGACTCCATTTCAAATACCAACAGATGAAATAGGAGCACTCCCCGACCATGCCAAATGGCACATCTGACCACAGCCACAAGTGGGGGAAAACAAATTTACACTCACCACAGATGGATCTGTCACCTTCCTTGATGGAGCAATCACTGTCAAAATCACAAACCTGCAGGTGACTGACGCAGCCTCCATGTGGGCAAGGGACAATAGAACCCTTGTCGTATTCAGAAAGATGTGGATCATCTTTGTCTATAAAGAAAATAACAGAACCCAGGAAGTCTAAACAAATGCCTTGATGAAGACTGTGAGTGCCCATTATGAGCCCCTTCTTCTTCTCCTCCTCCTCCAAATGACAATGGAATCAGTGGAAGATGACAACATCAGAAATGGGGCTTCATGATGAAGAGTGAATTCTTATAATCAACACAAGCAGAACTGAATGCACCTATATGCAAAGGCTCTTGCAGAGCTGTCAAAGCAATCTGTAGAAAGGAGAGCACCTCAATTTGCAACATGGGTTTGAAGAGCTCAGCAGTCCCCCAGTCTATGAAAACCTCAACAAATAGAGCTCTGGTGGCACCAAATATAATGAATATTTGTGGGCTAAACACATTTTGTATTTTGGTTACTTTCTGGATCTGAGATAACTATGGAAAGGGCTGATATGATATGATATCTGATATGAAAGCTCTACAGTGATTGATTTAGGATAGTAGATTCACACTTGCAAACTATGATAAAGACAAAAAGAATGATGAACAAATAAGGGTGAACTAGCCCTAACATAAGAGCTATCAAGGGTGAATCAGCACCGAAAAGTTGCAGACACAGAACAGAAACTCTTTCTTTTTTTTTAAAAAAAAATGGCTGTTGTGTAGATTTTTATTTCTTCACTGAAATTTGTATTTAGTGCTAGAAGATATTTTTCTCCTAAACAAACAACCAAGTATTTCAGATTCAGAAGATAAATAAGTAAGCCTTAGAAATTCAGTCTGTGGATAACAAAGAGGTGACCTTTGCAGGTGGTGGATTTACCACTGCTTCATTCCCTTGGGATGGCCGTTGGCTTATCAATAAGCAAAATTTATTACCCACTTTTTAAAATACCCCCCTCATCCTGTCATCATACGTCTTTGTGTCTGCATTATACTGTTCAATGGCATGTTGATAAATTATCCGGTTCAGCTTAAATCACTTGCAGTCCCTTCCACTTTCATACATTTTGCAGTTCCCTGATATAAAAATGTAAAGCACAGCAAGAATAAATCCGTTACTTAGGATATAGTTTTTAGAAATAAAAAAGTGAAAGGAGACTGAGAAGGGTAATAAAGGAGAATTATAAGATCAAATAAAGCTAGAGATATATTCACAAAACCAATGTGCTTATTTTAATCCCTTGTAAACCTCCATTAAAATTATGTTCCTTGTGCTTACAGTTATTGACAACTGACAATTTAAAATGGAAATGAATTTTGGACTTGATTGAACTTGTTCTTGTTTTAATTAAGGAATATATATATATATATATATATATTGACACTGTTACAACATATGGACAAGTTGGCCTTTTCTCATTTTTTTAAATATAACTCAAATGTTTTCATCTTAAGGATTCCTTTCTGTAAAAATAATATTTATAAAAGTAACAGTCAAGTTCATAAGCACAGCATTTAATTATCTACCCCACTGCATATTGCTGCATCTTGTTTTGGATGCATAGCTAGCTCTGAGGTTCTTCTTGCCCAATGATTATACAAAAACAAATCTCTGGACTTTTCAGACCTGAACAGCTACATTAAGACATACCATGAAAGCAATTTCTGAGCTGCAAAGAGCCCAGTGCCAAAAGACCAGAACTCTTTCTTCCACAGCTTGTATATAGCAGGGTGATCTCAAAGGGCCTGTCCATTCGTCCAATTGAACCCACCAGCACTTTCCACTTCAACCTGCAAATAGTTAAATGGTTATCATGCAAATAATATTTAACATTTGTATCATGCTTCTGAATGTCCAAAGTGCTTCACATTACAGCATCTTAATTATTCTTACAACAACTCTGTATGGTAGGTTGGTATTATCATCTCAACACTGAAGGACTATGGATAAAGCTACCAGTGGTGTACCAAGGGAGGCAGGGAGCAGTGTGCCCCAGACTCAGCTTAAGGAAGGCCTTTGAAGGAGGCCTTCGAAGCCAGTATAGTCCTGCTGCCTCCAGCAGAATATCTTCCCTTTTATTTTTAAAATGCAGTTCTGGCTCCAGCCACTAGGGGTGCAGGGAAGTCTGAGCATAGCAAAAAGCTCTAGGATGACCTAAGATTTCCTTTTCTCCAAGACTCAAGCAAACTTCCTTAACAGATTGTGCTGATAGATGCTACAATAATTGCCAGCCTGAAGGTCATTTTCTCCAATAGCCTAGCCTTTCTCTCTCCCTTTCCTTGCACCCAGCTCAGCCAGATCTTGCAAAGCAGTAGTTAGGTTGTGGCAGCAACATAAAACAACCTTTTCCTCTCTTAATTTATCTCCCTCTTTCCCACGTATTTCTCATTCATTTCTGTCTCCCTTCACCTAATTTTTCTGTGTCCCTCCCTTTATTTTCATATCTTTTTTAAAAAAAATATATTTATTTTAACAATAGAGATGCATTATTACCATTAAAATTACATAGAATGTATTTAAGAGTAGTATCATAATAAACCTTTGTTAATATTATGCTGGGGACTCTGTACATTGCACTGGTTCTGCTGGGATACAAAAATGTCCCCTTCTTCAGTTACTACTGCTGAGATTCTCTGGTTGACTTTAGAAACCATAGAGGATGGGGGCACCTTCTTTGAGGGGCAGTGTGTTTCTTAACATCCAGTATGATGAAGCTTGCAATCACTATTTTGTGATGCTTTGGCTACAAAGGCAGACTCCTAGATCTCAAAAATGCCTTGTAGATGCTTGGGATGGTCATTTCTTGGGCTTCAAAATGGAGAATGGAAGCCCTCCCAAGTGCCTGCTCAGAACTCAATTGGTGTGATGGAATTTCCCCCCCTCTCATCAAGTCACAGCTGATTTATGGTGACCATGTAGGGTTTTCAAGACGAGAGATGTTCAGAGGTGGTTTACCATTGCCTGCCTCCACGTCGGCCCTGCTTAGTTTCTGAGATCGGACGACAGTAGACTATCCTGGGGTTATCCAAGTCCCAAGGTCACCCAGCAAGCTTCCATGGCACCAGTGGGGATTTGAACCTGGATTTCCAAGATCCTAATGTAACACTTTAAGCACTATGCCACACTGGCTTTCATGATGCAATAGCGTGTTGGATTTTTTTTTTTTACTGGCATGATTATATATACGAAGTTAAATACAAGAAATTTTTCACTATCTGCTATCTTTTCTGGCCACTGAACACAAAGTTTGGATCCAGTGGCACCTTTAAGACCAAACTTTGTTGTACTGCTTCAGACCAACACCACTACCAACCTGAATCTATTTTCTGGCCATTATTATTATTATTATTATTATTGTTTCATGAGTGGGAGAGAGGTGAGTTCAGTAATTTTCAGGTAAATTTCAGGTAAATTCAAAAGGACCTATGGCGGGAAAGGATGTCTGTAATCTGAGATGTCTTTATACTAATGCACAGAGTATGGGAAATAAACAGGAGGAACTTGAACTTCAAATACTGGAAAGTAAGTGTGATCTGATAGGCATCATTGAGACTTGGTGGGATGAGTCTCATATATGGAGCACAGCGATTGAAGGATATACCTTGTTCAAACGGAACAGAATAAGCAAAAAAGGAGGCGGGGTGTCACTATATGTCAAGAATGAATATGCTTGCACTGAAATTCAGGATTTTGAGAGTTGCCCTGTTGAAAGCGTGTGGGTAAGGATAGAGCCTCCTGCCAACCTAGCAGTTCCGAAGCAAGAAATTGCAAGTAGATAAATAGGTACCACTTCAGTGGGAAGGTGTTTAGTCATGCCGGCCACATGACCACAGAAATGTCTTTGGACAGCGCTGGCTCTTTGGCTTTGAAACGGAGATGAGCACCGCAACCCTAGAGTCGGATTTGACTGGTTTTCGAGCAAGGGAACCTTTACCTTTACCTTTAAGGATAGAGCGGGGGGGGGGGAGAGGGGAATATTGTTGTGGGGGTTTACTACAGACCTCCAAACCAACCGGAGGAACTGGATGATACATTTGTACAACAGCTTGCTAAACTTTCACAGAGACAGGATGTAGATTATGGGAGACCTCAACTATCCAGATATTTGCTGGAAATCTAACTCTGCTAGACATGGAGCATCCTGCTGATTCTCGAATAGCCTTGCAGACAACTTCATCTCTCAGAAGGTGGAGGCAGGAACCAGATGATCTGCTATCCTAGATTTAATTAATCCTCACTAACAGGGAAGAACTAATTGATGAAGTGAATGTTGTGGGATCATTGGGGAATAGTGACCATGTCAGCTTGGAATTTGACATAGAGAAGGATGTGAAACCAGGACACAGTAGGACTCGTATCCTGGACTTCAGGAAAACTGTTTTCAAAAAACTCAGAGAAATATTAGGTAGGATCCCGTGGCTGGAAATGCTGAGGGGGAAAATCTGCACAGGAAGGATGGGTGATGCTGAAAAATGAAGTGCTTAAGGCACAATCTCAAACTGTTCCAGTAAAAAAGAAAGGTGGGAGACGGGTAATGAAGCCAAGGTGGCTGAACAAGGAACTCTCTAAAGAGCTGAGACTAAAAAGGGAAATGTACAGGAAATGGAAGGAGGGCCAGATTACTGAGGGTGAGTACAAGAAGCAGACTCGAATCTGTAGGGATGGTGTCAGAAAGGCTAAAGCGCAAATGGAGCTGAGGCTTGCGAGAAATGTTAAAAATAACAAGAAAAAATTCTATGCCTATGTTCGGAGCAAAAAGAAGAATAGGGATGGGGTAAGCTCATTGCTAGGGGAAGATGGTCAAGCCTTAACAAGGGATGAAGACAAAGCGGAATTACTCAACTCTCACTTTGCATCGGTCTTTAACCATAAGGTGAGCTATATACAAACTGAAGAATGCAGGGCATATGAAGGAAGGAGGAACTGCCAGTCCAGAGTAAGTAAGGAAATGGTTAGAGAGCATCTAGCTGCCTTAAATACTTTCAAATCTCCAGGGCCGGATGGCTTGCATCCCAGGGTGCTAAAAGAAACTGCAGATTGGTAGCCCTCCTCCAGTGAGATGTTATTTCAGAGCCTCTGGTTCTAATCTTTGATATGTCCTGGAGTACTGGTGTTGTGCCGGAAGAGTGGAGAAGAGCTAATGTAGTCCTGATCTTCAAGAAGGGAAAAAAGATGGACCCATGAAATTACAGGCCTGTCAGTTTGACATCAATACCTGGGAAAATTCTAGAGCAGATTATTAAACACTTTGTCTGTGAGCACCTTGAACGAAATGAGTTAATTGGTAGTAGCCAGCATGGGTTTATCAAGAATAAGTCATGCCAGACCAACATTATCTCATTTTTTGACAGAGTTACTAGAATGTTTGACTCTGGCAATGCTGTGGATATAGATTTCAGTAAAGCATTTGACAAAGTTTCTCATGATATCCTTGAGGATAAGCTGGTTAAGTGTGGGCTAGATGATGCAACTGTTGGATGGATTCATGGTTGGTTGAAAAATTGTACCCAACAAGTGCTCGTAAATGGCTGACAGAGCCAGTATTCAAAATGTTCTAGATAGGCTGGAACAGTGGGCAGAGACAAATAAAATGAATTTCAATAGAGAGAAGTGCAAAGTCCTACACTTAGGTACAAAAAAGCAAAGGCACAGATATAGAATGGGAGGGACTTGGCTTGACAGCAGCAAATGTGAAAGGGATCTAGGTGTTCTGGTTGATCACAAGCTAAACATGAGCCTGCAGTACGATGTGGCTGTGAAGAAAGCTAATGCAATCTTAGGATGCATTAACAGAAGCGTTGTGTCCAGATTACGGGAGGTGGTAGTTCCGCTCTATTCTGCTATGGTCAGGCCTCACTTGGAGTACTCTGTCCAGTTTTGGGCACCACATTTTAGGACGGATGTTGACAAGCTCGAGCATGTCCAGAAGAGGGCAACCAGGATGGTGAGAGGGTTTGAAGCCAAGTCTTATGAGGAAAGGCTGAAAGAGTTGGGTATGTTTAGCCTGGGAAAGAGAAGGCTTAGAGGGGACATGATTGCAGTCTTCAAGTATTTGAAGGGCTGTCATGTAGAAGATGGAGTGGATCTATTCTCTCTTGCTCCGGATTGCAAGACTAGGTCTAATGGGTGGAAATTACAAGGGAGTCGTTACCAGCTAAATATCAGGAGAAACTTCCTAACTGTAAGAGTGGTTGAGCAGTGGAACAATCTGTCTCGAAATGTGGTGGATGCTTCTTCGCTGGACGTTTTCAAGCGGAGGCTGGACGACAATCTTTCAGGTATGTTGTAGGTATGTAGGGCTATCTTTTGGCTATGCTCCTGTAGAGTGCAGGGGGTTGGACTAGATGACCTGCAAGGTCCCTTCCAACTCTAACATTCTATGATTCTATGAATGAAAATGATTTTGTCATATAGACGAGGGGCCCTGACCTGAATAGCCCCAGCCTTGCTTGATCTAATCAGATCTCAGATGTCAAGCAGGGCCAATGTGGAGGCAGGCAATGGCAAAACACCCCAGAACGTGTCTTGCCTTGAAAACCCTACGGGATCACCATAAATCAGCTGTGAGTTGATGATAAAAAAAAACAGACAGGGGGTGTTAAAAATTATCCGTCCTGGGCACCAAATAGGCTATGTACACCACTGAAGCTACCTAGCCAGAAGAGATTTGAACTAAAGAATTTCTGCTTCAAACACTTTAGCCACCAAAATATACCATTTTGCATCAGGCATGTGGAGCTTCTTAGAGATCACTGTTTAATTATGTTGCTTAAATAACTCTATAGAAGAAAAGTCACCAACACAAACATTAACTACAACAGCAAATTAGCTCATAGAGACTCCGAATGTCATCTGTTGAATAGTTTTAACAAAGTTAAATCCTTGATTGCTAGTCAGTCCATCCCATAATATTCACAACCATCCCCCTATTTTGGCAGTGTTTCAAAAATTTGCCAAACCTCTTTGAGCAGAGGAAACAGCAGGTAGAAGTCATATTGCAAGGCGAGCAATACCATTTTCAACACTCTATAAACTGGTCTTCTCCCTTAGTTTAAAATTTTGCTTTTCAAGTAAATTCTAAGTCCTAGTACCTATCAGGAATGGGTAAATGAATGTTCACATCAACCGAACATAACTATCAACATTGTTTTACAAGCAAAAATTCCTGAGAATAATTTTAAAAAACAATTGTATGATAAAGCTATATTAATAATGTGGGGAAAGCAAGCACAAATATTTGCAAGTAACAGGTTGGTTAAAATTTATGTAGAAGCTACAGTGCCAGTATTCATTTTCTGCACAGGAAGAAATCAACTCCTGTTAGCTCAGATTCATTTAAGATTTTAAAGCTAGACTCTTTTCTGCAATGGAGGAATTCTGACTGGTCTCCTGGAATGTGGATGGCTGACCATTCATGAACAAAAAAGTGTCATCAGCAAATTTACAAATCTTACATGCAGTCGCATCCATTCAGAAACCCCTAATGAGATTAGATTAAACAAACCCAGCAAATCATCAGATACAATGAAAAGGAAGGCACAGACATGTTTCATAGGTCCCCTCTTTGCAATGGAATCACTAACCGAAGTAACTTTTTTCCCACCATAGAGAACAATGGAGGTGATAGGGGCAACTTGTTTGAGGGCCCATAGAATTGGACCCCCTTGTCCAATGCTCTTGAAACCTGGTTGGTATCTTGGGGAGAGGCTCCAGCAGCTACCCTCAAGCCCCCTCCCCTCCAGCCCCCAGTATATACCCTATGTTTTCACCATTGACTTCAATGGCCCATAGGATATAATGCGGCTGAAATTGAAATTCAGCTGGCGGAAAGACTCCCGAATCAGCTCCTACTGATGAAACTGACATGTGGGAGTCTTACTGCCAGCCGAAATTGATTCTGTGCAATTTGGCCGAATCCGAATGGGCCGATTTTTTTTTTTTTGCACACCCCTAGTGCTGGGTAGCAGAAGACCTTGAGGCCTGGCCTCAGAACTGGGAAGGGGGGTTGAGAGTCCTGTTCCTTTTCATTCAGGACCCCTAAACTGAACAGGTGGTGGCAGCGTGCCCTAGTGGCAGGAAGTGGAATAGCACCCTCCAGGAATCGGAGGGGAGAGGCAAAAGAGGGTCTGTAAGTCAGAGCAGGCCTGTTCCATCACAGAGATATTTACGCTGTCCTCAGAAAACATAGTATAGGTTGATCTCATCAGATCTCAGAAGCTAAGCAGGGTGAATCTTTGGATGAGAGAACACCCAGGAATACTTTGCAGAGGAAGGCAATAGCAAATCATCTCTGCTTCTAACTTGCCTTGAAAACCCCTTGCTGGGGTTGCCTTAAGTCAGTACACACACACACACAAAGGAAACAAGATGCCTGCCTTTTATGCCTTATCCTACACCTGTTTGATCAGTACAACAGATCCTCCAGCAATGAACCACCACCTTCCCCCCACCCCTCGCTGCTGCACATACCTCAGGCTCGCCAACTCCAATTCACTGTTAGATCACTTTGTTATAGTGTATTGCTGCAGCCAGGAATTAATAGCACTGAGTCACTCTCTATTACCACTATGGTTAATTATACCAAACGGCATCCAAAATTTAATCATGAGTACATTGTGACAGATATAAACTCTCAGCACACTATACAGTGTGGGGCCCTAGCAGCATTAATACATTTTTCCTCACAATATGATTCTGCAGTTAGTGGGATGCACTCTGCCCCCTACCCAGTCATGGATAGGGGAAATAGAAGACATAGCAATGCAACCAAACCTAGAATCTTATATTCTAATAGAGAAGTCAGGATATCTTTGAGTACATAAAGGTGGTGACTAGAGCTATGAACAGGCAAGACAGATCTTTCTAAAAACCTGAAAAGGGCCCTATGTTTGCAGGAAAAAGTGAAATCTAAAAAATAATAATACATTGGGCTTCTTAAAAAAATCGAAAATGATCAAAAGAGAGCCTATAGCTTTAAGCAACAGATTCCGTCAGGGTGGACTTTATGGCATTATACCCTGCTGAGGCTGCTTCCCTTCCAAAACCTCACCCTCCCAAGGCTCTATCCCCAAATCTCTGGGGATTTCCCAGCCTCGATCTGGCAACCCTAAAGGGAACTGATCTCTGCAGTTGGGAGATCTGTTGTGATTCCAGGAGATCTCCAGCACCCAGATGAAGGCTGGCAATCCTAGAAGGAGAGAAGGAAGCAGGAAAGGGGGAGAGATGACTATGGGGGCTTTTGGGAAAGGGAAAGAGGGGGAGAGGGGGAAGTGAGATGCCTCCCATAAATAGGGGGAGAGGGGGAAGTGAGATGCCTCCCATAAATCCCTTTGTATGCTTCCTAAAGCCCAAGGGATTAAGCACAGGGTTTCTTGCAAGCCTTAGCACTCTGATTAATACCCAGTAAACTACAGAGGAAAACAAAGTAAGGCAAGGATTGCTTTGCTGAATAATTCCTGAGCATGTGAAAAGTGCAGTAAAAACCTAGTGGCCAAACCTCTCAAAAACAAAAAAAGAGGACATTTATTCTTATGAGAAAAGGAAATAAAGAAATGGAGACTGGAATGGGGAGTGTTGACTTAGAAGTCAAGATCAAAAGAAAAGATTAAACAGGTATAGCTAGTACTTTCCTTGGCTTACTAAGCATCTTTGGATCATCATAGTTCTTCATAGAACAGCATCCAGAATGTGAATGAATGAGAAGTAGCTTTATAGCTTCAAAAATAAATGTGTGAACCACCTACTAGTATGATGGATCTTTGCTTAGGTATTTCCTCATCATGCAGCTGGATTTTGGCAACCCTCAGCTTCCAGATTTAACTGCAGCAGCTTCTCCCCATGCCATAAATAAGCCCTCTTCCATGCTCAGTCCAAACAGAAGCTATTCAGAGCCAATTTAATTTCCTTAATGGAACCCAGAACAAAGCCCTTTGTATACACAGCAGAAGATGGATTGTCACAGCAAGAATTCAGATAAGCTCAGCCTGGCAATACTTTTAGACTATTGATTTTGTGTCACGAGAACACAACTTACTATAAGCTGGCTAATATTACTCTGCTTCTAAATACAGATATTAAAGTGGCTGCATGGGGCTCAACAGGTTTCTGGGCGATATGCAGCTCAAGAAAGCAAGTCTGAAGAAGCAAACAAAGTTCAACTTGATGCCAGAAGTAAGTAGACGGGTACAGCAGGGCTACTACAGGGCAGCAGCAGCAGCAAACACTGGAATGCGATTAAAGCAGTTCGGTAACTGACACAAGAGATTCCGAGACATATTGTAAGAATGCATCTGGCTATTCCCACTGTTCTTCACAAGCTGTTTGAGAACAAGAACCTTGTGTGCTTTATTATGTTTGAAAAGAAGGCAGGCTTTGTCTTTTCCAGCAAAGACAACTCCTGAATTGGAAGGAAGAGTAATGAAGATATCAAGGGAAAGCAATCCCTTGCTATGAGTAAGAGTACGGGACTTTAGTGATGAGTCATCGCCAAGTATGGTTACATAAACAGGTTCAAGCAAGATCAGCTGATGCAACTAGAAACTATCCCAGGATTGCTTCTTTTTTTATATTTTACAAGACCCTTTGGGGAATCATACTTGCCATTAGATGTATGACATAGTAATGGAATACAGACAGTGCACACCTCTGCCTCTCTCTCTTTTTTGGGGGGGCCCAATTTCTGAACCCTATGTCAGATTTGGTTCAAAATTATTTAACTCCTCTCCAGAAGCTTAGAATAAATGAACACTCAGAGCTCACGATGCCAGAAGAGCAGGCCTCACAGTGTGTCCTTTGGATGACATTCATTCTAGTATATAATTTCAATAGTTTATCAGTTCAGTAGTAACTGGGCATATCAGAGAAGAACTTCTGCTTGTGTAGAAAGAAAGTGATTTTTACTCTGGGAAAAATTCAGTTTTCACTTTAAGGCCCCTGTTGAACTTCACTTTTTGCCTGGATTTGGAAGGATCCAGTTATTTCATCTGCACTGTGCTTGCCAGTGTTCAAAATGAGGACGAAAAGATTCTAAAGGGTCCAGCCCTTCCCCCGAGAACTCTAATCATGGGCATGCACCTAAGAGCCACAGAGACCTCCAACCCATAAACACTCCCAGATTAGCTTTGGATCAGAGAAGTACCATCATCCCGAGTTAAAATCAAAATCACTGGAGGAGGGCTACCAATGCAAATTTTAATAAACTGGAAGGATAAATCTCACCAGGCATTGTCTTCTTGTCCCTCTTGCAGAGGGATGGGTATGCTGTGGTTAGAATCCACATACTGAATTTCTGCAGAAAGTCCTGCTAGAGTGGCACCCTGTGCGTGCACTGTCAGTTCCAACAGGCAGGAATCAGAGCTCCAAGGCAGGACTGGGCTGTGGAGGCTGAACCTGCACCTTTCTGAAATGCTGCTTAAGTTCAGGAGAAGAATGTTCCCTATGAAGAAGAAGAAAAGGGGGGAAATGAGTTAATAGCAAAAAAGGAGAAGAAAGAGATTGAATGGAAACCACAAGCCTAAACACAAAGGAAAGAAGAAAACATACAGAGAAGAGGTAAGGAGAAGTAGGAAGATGAAGACAAAGAGGGAAAAAAGAAACTGAGATGAGGGAGGAGTAAGCTAGAAATAAGTGAGCTGAAATGGTAATATACTAATCTATTAGTGCCATCCGAAACAAGAGTTATACCTTTCTAAATCCATTGAAGTCAATAGGCTTAGAAGGGTGCAGCCCTGCTTAGGATGGTGCTGCCAGGGAGCAAAAGGCTCTGCAACCAGAGTTTTCAAATGGATAGCCTCATATTATATATACAGGCAGCGATCCAGAACTAAGCTCCACTGAGTCCAATAGGATTTACTCCCATATACCAGATTACAGATAAAAGCAGCAGAGCTACAGACATGGGGGGGGGGGGAAACCCACCAGTTTTGAAGCAGCAGTTCAAGTTAAAAAAGAAAAAAGGAATATCATTTAAAATCAACCCACAGTAATTTCAAGGGAAAGGGAAGATAAGAATCAACAAAAAGCCTGGGCAAGCATGCACATCTCTTTCACTTGGTACCAAAAGGCTCAATCTCAGACAAAAGGTGGCATGATTCTTGGAACAACTCTTCTGCCTCAGAGAAAAGAGGCAGGAGGTGCAGTGCATCTAATGAAGATTGCAACATCTTCTCAAAGAGAGACACTGGGCATTGGGCCCCAGATCCACATATAAAAATGGAGAAAGATGTATGCTTGAAAAGCTGAGTGTCTGCAGAGAATCTCAGTACAGCTTAGGCTGATGTTCCAATTTTAAATATTAGATGGCTTTAGGTTAAAACATGTAGGAAGATGCAGCACAAAGCAGCATAGCCAAGTCAAGAACAAAGATCAAAAGGCAACTACATTACAATGCCTGAGGAGTACCTCACACCCAACAGAGGAAGGTCTTCGTAGAGACAGGAAACCCAACTACTCATAACAGATTCCTTCCCTGAGTTCTTTGCAAACTCAGGAACTCTCTACTACCTTACAATGAGCTTCTGAGCAGGGAAAAAGCCTATTTCAAAAGCTTAGCACAAGAAAGAATGAAAAAAATCCCTGTCTTTCTTCTGTGTGGGAGAGGAGAGGGTGCTGTTCACTTTGTTGTGCTGAACTTTGGAACAGGATGAACTGTTCTTCTCTCCATTGTGTTTAACTTTGAAATAGTCAGCCTGCTCCAGAACTCATTGTGATCAAGTGAACTACCCCTTCCTTTCTCCCATACAGGGAACCATGGGACAGTTCTCTCTTTCATGCTTAGTGCTGAAACAGGAAGTTGCAGTATAAGAGACCAGCACCAGTTCTGCCTGCTCTGAAGCTCAATGAGATATGACAACTCCTTTTTTCTTCCTGCTTGTCCAATGGCAAATGCCAGGGAGGAAAAGGCAGACAGTTGGAGACACCACATGGGTGTGGGCAATGATGTGGTTCTGTTCTACCAGTTTGGTGTAGTGGTTAAGTACGCGGACTCTAATCTGGGAGAACCGGGTTTGATTCCCCACTCCTTGCAGCTGCTGGATGACCTTGGGCAAGCCACAGTTCTGTCAGAGCTGTTCTTGAAAGAGCAGTTCTAGAAAGAGCTCTCTCAGCCCCACCTACCTCACACGGTGTCTGTTATGGGGAGGGGAAGGGAAAGGCATTTGTAAGCTGCTCTGAGACTCTGAGTGAAAGGTGGGGTATAAATCCAATCTCCTCCTCCTCCTCCTCCTCTTCTTCTTCTTCCCTTCTTTGTTAAGGGAAGGGAGGCGGAGGATTGGGTGGTAGCAAATTATGTCATTGGGCTGGGCCCCATGGTTCCAAGATCCCGACATTTCTGGAGAAACACAAGTAGCAGCCCTGGGGAAACAGCTCCCACACCACTGCTAATAACATGGTGTCAGCTGGTCCTCCTGGGTTTTACTTCCTATGGGAGGAAATGTGCAGGATTCTGATTAAGAAAGGAAGAGCCAGTTCTTTGCAATGGAGGTTCTATTTAAATCCTACAATATATCTATTGTATCCATTATAATTATTTTAATATGTAAACATCATTTAGCACATGATGCTGTGTAATGAATGGAGAGTTTTCATATGGAAAATATTATGTATGTCTGTGCCATTTGCATGAGCCAAAAACTATTTAATATGAAAAATCAATTAGCTTTAATCCATTCAATCTTGTTTTGGTGCTTTGCATTCTCATGTACACTGTAAGATACCTCTGTGGATACAAATAAACGAGAAAGGGAAATGTACAAATAACAACCTTCTAGATATCTGTTGGAAGAGCTGTTCTCCATGATCTGCTGCCATTCCTGAGAAGTCAAAGCAAGTACTGAAGACATCATCCAGTCTGGTTTTCCAGATGCATCAGTAGATGTAACCCAGGAGCAATTCCATCCAAAGTTACATGGGGTTTCTGTCATTGGAAACACAGAAGAATCAATAGGGCATTGTATGTTGTTGTTATTACTGGAGAGGGCCAAGACTGATAAGCTAAGCTAGCATTCAGTTTACCAATACATGTACATCTATAGTTTTAGTTGCCACACTGGGATGGAGCTGAGCTTACCTGATGACTTTGGGGGACATTCTAGGGGCTCTCTTTGAACATTAGTCTGTCTTCTCCCTAAAATTGTGATGTGAGCTTTCAGGGGATCCTTTGTGCCACAAAACAGCTAACAAAGAAAAATGCTGAAAAGTTTTTCCAGAGCAAATACTGATGGGCACCAACCAAACCCAGTATCTTCTGCATCCCAGTACTATTGGACTTAACAGGCAGTGGCTTTTGCAGGGGTGCTGTGTTAGAGACGTTTGCAGTTAAAATCAATAATGTTCAGGGCTGATATTTACATTAAAGTCAATGCATTCCAGTGAACAGCTAGATTCGAGTCCTGTAACATCTCAGAGACCAACAAGAGTTTCAGCCTATCAGCTTCCAAGAGTCTGACAGAGGGAACTTTGACTTTCGAAAGCTTATATGTTGTTGGTCTCTAAGGTGCTACTGGAATTGAATCTAGCTGTCCTTCTACAGACCAACCCGCCTACTCTCTGAAACATCCCAGTGATACAGCATACATGCCAGTCTAGCAACGTCTACGTATAATTTAGCAAACTTTTCCTTTCACCCCACATATCCATTCTTTTGGTTAAGAGACACAGTACAGATGCGTTGGAGTATAGAAGGCACTCAGTTTGAATTCGGAAATCTTTCAAGCAACAATCCCATGCTTGAAGTTTTTCTCTATGAAAATGTGGTGGTTGGCAAAAGAGAAGCACAGCAATGCGCCTCAGTACAATTGTAACAAATTTCAGAGTCCAGTGGCACCTTTAAGACCAACAAAGTTTTATTCAAGGTATGAGCTTTCGGGTGCACGCACACTTCCTCAGATACACTGGAATGGAAGGTAAGGTTCAAACTTATAGACAGGGGCTGCACAGCAAATTAACATGTAACATGACAAAAATGTTTTAAGATATGTGAAGACAAACTAAATAACAAGCTAAGGTTATAAGCTAGCTTGTTATTTAGTTTGTCTTCGCATATCTTAAAACATTTTCGTCATGTTACATGTTAATTTGCTGTGCAGCCCCTGTCTATAAGTTTGAACCTTACCTTCCATTCCAGTGTATCTGAGGAAGTGTGCGTGCACACGAAAGCTCCTACCTTGAATAAAACTTTGTTGGTCTTAAAGGTGCCACTGGACTCTGAAATTTGTTCTACTGCTTTAGACCAACACGGCTGACCCCCTGGATCTATCTTCAGTACAATGATGTTTAAGAATGGTTCATCTAGACATTGCTAGCGGGTGTACATGTGTATAAAATAGAATATAACATAGGAGAACAGAGGCTGTTATGTCACATTTTTGGTACTAGAATGTTTTTCAAAAATGCTGTTCCAAAGGCTGTATCAAGAGCTTGTTTTGCAATGCTGCGTATGATCTACCCCTGTTTCCTTGCAACCATTTGTAAAACAGATCCACAAAGAACACAAAGCAAGAAAGCAATTTATCTGAAGTATGATTAGCCTCAGGCAAAATCTATTCATCCACATCAGAATAAATATGGTTTTCTATAATTGTATATCTGGATATCTATCAGTTATTCAAAAATATATTACCTTCCTACTCAGCCTGTAACATGAAAGGGAAATGCCTTCTCTAATGTATAAATCTTGGGAGTAGGGATTTACTTCTACTTGCAAGCCAACCATGCCACACCATTGTACAAATCTGTACATTGAACAAATTTCTAAGGCAGTAAAATGCAGGCATTAGATAAACTGCCTGCCCTCTCACAAATTTATGACATATGCTACATGAAGCCTTCACAATTGTGGCTTTAAAAATAGACAAATGCAACATTTCTAGTAAGCCCTGATTAAAAATATACAGTCTGCTTTTACATAGCACAGTTATTTCATTGACATGAAGGCTCTCTGGGGAACAAATGAAAGATTTCTGGGAAAAACAGGTGGCCAGTGAATCCTTTTCTACAGCAATATGACTGAGTCTATCAGATTATTTGTAGAAGTAGGAAGTGACAGAGGCAGAATACAGAGGAAGTGTAAAGTACAGATTTTTTTTTTGCAGGATTGTATTATATGCTTTTCATGTCTTGTTTATTACAGGATTGCAGAATGCTGCTCACACCATGGAACAAGCTGTACCTCGACTAATCAGATCCTCAGATGTGCAGCTACGCAATATGCCGGTGCTTAGGAGGAGGCACTGGTCCTTATATCTAATAGAAAAGTGGCTGGCTCCTGTGCCAGCCACAAAAGCAGGGATAAAAGACACTCACTGACCAGACATGAGTATCTATATATATGAAGGGATTCCATAGCTATGCAGAAAAATATGACTTTTGTAAATTGACTAAAGACCACCCCCTTAACCCCCCAAAAGAAGGAGGGAATAGAACATGCCCTGGGAGCACATAACGCTAAGAACAGCTGAGAGTCAGAAAAAGGGAGGTGGGACAGAGAGATGGGGACACTGGCATGTTCAAGCCCTTGAGAGTGTACAGGACACATGCATATGTGTATATCTGGGGAGGATTTCCCAATTATTTATTCCACATGCACACTGCAATTTCTTCTGTATGCTCATCTCCCACTTGTACTTTGATTATTGTAGCCTGGTAAACTAGCTTTTTTGCAAGCCTTGCAAGTATGTTACACTTCTTTTTCACAGAACACACAATTTATGGAACTTGCTGCCACAAGATAGGGGGATGATGGCCTCCAGTTTAGGGGCTTTAAAAGGGGCTAGGCAAGTTCACAGAGAATCAGTTTTTCAAGGACATGGATACCTAAACGAGACTGTCAGCTCCAGGTTCAGAAGGACTATCAGGCTGAATTCTAGTTGCTATGGAAAGGTAGGGCAGACAATCAAGGGGTATGCATTCGAATCTCCCCAAGCCAAAAAATATACCCGAAAAATACCTTACCAGTATTTGGGGGTATATTTCGGTTTCTCAAATGTATCTGGGTTTTCTCATGAAAACCAAAAAAAAAACAAAAACAAAAAAAACACCCCAAGAAAATCCCGGATATATTTGGGAATTACTGGTAGATCTGAAAACAGCAGAGAAGCAGGAGCAGATTGCTCCTGCCTCTCAGCTGTTTGTTGGGCTTCTGCAGTCCCTTTAAACTTTAAAGAGGCTGCAGAAGACAGTCCCCGCTGAATCGGCTTGGCTTCTCCTGCAGCTCAGTTTAAACCAGGCTAAGTCTGCCCAGGATCAGCCTCAGCTGAGGCTGACTCCTCTTGCAGTTCAGTTTAAACCAAGCTGCAAGAGAGGATCAGCTAGGGCAGCAGGAGCTGAGAGCTCTGCGCTGTCTCGGCTGGGCGTGGCTCCTCTTACAGCTCAGTTTAAACGTAGCTGCAAGAGAAGTCAGTCCAGGATCTGTTGGAATTTATTTCCAGTAATTCAGCAGAGGGCACAAAGGCTCATAAGTGCAGCAGAGCTCATCTGGTCAGTGTGTGTTGGCAAGAAACAAAGTTACACAGAGCCTCTTTATACTTGCCAAAGCAGTAACAGGAGTCTATTATAGGAACTCCATTTCAAGTTAGACCAGAGTAGCAACACGATCAGCTGTCCCCATGGGAGGCAGACTGTTCCCTGTGGGCACAGCTTTTGGTGTGCAATTCCCCCCCATTTTTTTCTTCTTGAATTTACTGGACCAAAAAAAGGGGGGGATTTCTGAAAAATCCTGGATCCAAATACTGCACCGGTATTGGGATCTGAGATTTTTTTGGAAACCAGTTCATTATACGTGTGACTGAACAACAACAAAATACCTGACCCCCCCCCCAAAAAAGGGGGGGAAATTGCACACCCTTAGCAGACAGAGACAGTAAAACAGCTTGGCAGTAAGTTGGGGGGCCAGGCCCCAAGATCCCTCCTCCGTAGCTACGGGCCTGGTGCTGAGTAAAATGGTCCAGCGCACTGCTCCTCAGTACGTGTGCTGGGGATACACAACCCAGCGCTATAATTATGCACAGACTTGTGGTTTATAATATAGGGAACCAAATCACTCAGTAAACTAATTAATGATGTAACTTCTTGACAAAGTAATTGTGATTTCTGCATCAACTGGAAGTAACACCCTGATGTGTAGGGGAACACTTCAAGCTTCCAGGGCATTCAATAGCTGACCTCAAAGTAGCTGTTTATTGCAAAGGAACTTCAGGAACAGAATGAAAAGGGAAATAGCTGAATTACACGTTATTACAACACTTGGAACAAACACCCTGCTAGGACTTAACAGGGATATTGGTTTCTTATTCCACTACATATGCTAACTCATCCAATTCTCACATATACATCCACATATACATCCACTATATTTTGATATTTTTCTTTTCTTTTTTTTTGGAAATAGTATATTATAAAAGTGATTGTAATGCAATGCAATATCAGAGCATAGCAGTTGCTCTGCCACTAAGCCACCCCTCCTCCCCAAATGGAGCTTAGTAGAATAAAATCACCCTATGGTGGAAAATGAGATTCTTAGCTAGTTTGCTTTCTTGATTTACTGCCTTTAACCATGAAATAACCACTGGGTGCAAATGAATTTTGTATGCTGAAACAGACGTACGAAAACCTAAATGTTAATATGGAAGCAACATCATGCCCATATTCATGCCATGGAGAAAATCTGCTCAGCTCGTCTTCATGAACTCCCTGAAAAAGTCCTTGAGAACAAGAGCTCTACTACCTGGATGGGAAGACTGATCAGATGAAACCATCCCATTTCTGCTTGGAGAAAGCCTAGGAGGTGCATAAGAGAAGGAGGGATTTTTCTCATATTGTCTGGAAGCAGCAGGAACAACTGCAATAAAGAAAAAAGTACACTAGTAAAACAGAAAGAGTTCAAAATGTCATTTTCATATAGATGACAGTTTATTGATTCTGATAAAAATCTGAATAATGATCCAACAATGTTTACATTGAGGAAAGCAATTATTTATTACTTTCTCCATTATATGACAACGGCATTATTCAGTTATGCAGATTTAGAGTGAAAACTTATGTAAAATTTTGATGCCTAGTGGAAGTACCCAAAAGTTTGGGGTGGAGGCAAGGGTTCTTCCAAATGTCCCTGCAACCTTTCTAGCAAAGGGATGCTGCAGTAGTTGCACTGATACTAAGTTATGTATGTTACAGCAAAGCTAACACGATTGCACTAAACTGGGAGTCAGATGGAGTGTTGCCATTGTATAGCTGAACTATACAATAAGCTTGGGACATTAAGCTGGGACATTAAGACTAACAACCGTCCATGGAGCTGAGATATTACTACTTTTCTTTCTTTTGTCTTTCTAAAGGTGTCACCATTAGTTGAATATCACTGCAATTGCCCAACCATTAATCTCATTCTCTCAGTCATCTCTTGACCATTTAGTAACTGGATTTTTCTAGATTTCCTGGGGACTACACGACTGATGGAGCATCCCCCTCCCAGTCATTCTAGGGTATAAAAAGAGAGCATCTTTCCATTGCTCTCTCTCTTACTTCATACCTACCTGACCCCACCCTGTCTTGCTGACACCATTCATAGTGCTGTTTGGAGTCTCCCATGTGCATTGCCGGCCAACATATGACCCCTTCCCTAGTATTTTCCCCTATTTTTACCCCAGGATCGCCTCGTCGCATTGGACAGGTAAAGTACTGCCCCCATCAACGATACCTTCCTGCTAATGCAACCATCGCTGTACCTTTCTAAGATTCTTAGCTCTGTATCAATTGAGTATGTTTTTCATTTTTACTGTATGTGTGTGAGAATTAATAGTAAAGAAATCAATATATTTTAATATCTAGTCCCTGCATCTATTTCTGGGGATCTGGACAAGTTGGACTCCAGTATACATAGGTTATTGTTCCCTTAATTAAAGCCACTGCCATTTAATATTCAAACTCCTCCATCTTATTAATAAATTAAGGCAATTTGGCTAACAGGAGTTATCCGTTTATATTCTTTGTCTGCATCATCCACTTATTTTTGCATTTAAGTCAACTCGTAAGATCCAAGCATCAGTGAAATGAGTCTTCTCACTATCAAATCCACTTTGATCCAATCTTATTAAAACAGCAATGCCATTCATTTGAAAAAGCTGAATAGTAAAAAGACTACTTTTTTTGGTGTTTGTGTGTAATCTATATGGTACATGCAGGATAAGCAGGAGCCATCACATAATCTTCCAGTGTTCATCAAGTCCTTTGGGAAGTTTACTCTTGCCATACTTATAAGAGTTTAAGATACTCCAACAAAATAAAACTAGAAATTTCCTTGTGGGAAACCCAGATGGCAGGCCTGCCTTGGGGTCTGGGGAAAACAGGATTTTGCAGGCCAAGTCTTTGAGCTCCCCAAAAGTTAACAAAAAAAATCCTTCTACCAGTAGGCATGCCAACCTCCAGGGGGTGGCTGGAGATCTCCTGGGATTACAACTGATCTCCAGGTGACAGTGATCAGTTCACCTGGAGAAAAGGCCTACTTTGGAAGGTGGACTCTGTGGTATTACACCCCATTTATGTCTTTCCCCTCCCCAAACTCCACCCTCTTCAGGCTTCACCACCAAACTCTTCAAATATTTCTCAACCTGGAGCTGGCAACCCTGCCCACTAGTTAGCTTAATACTGTTATGGCTAGCAAAACTGTGTTCCACCAATTAGCTTGTATTGTGGTCCAACAATTCCATAACCTTCCAAGCACTGCCCATGACCCTCCAGAATTGCCAATAAACCAGTGATACTCTGCTAGTCTGCTTAAGGGGCCAATATTTTTCCATGACTAGGACTTCTGTATTATAAGTAGTGACAGGGTTACTACTTCTTTCTGATGTCTTGCTGAAATTCCCCATCTCTCCAGATCAAAACTGCTGCTGTGCAGTGGTTCCACACTATGACCCATTAATGTTATCCTTGAAATGCATCTCCACAGTAAGCCCTCTTCAGCAAAGGTCCTGCTTCACCCTGCAAATATTTCTTCTTTTGATCATTTATTTTTAGCCTAATTGATTACTTCCTTTTCCCTCCAAGAAATCATGAATCAAAGTTAACCTCCCCCCCCCCGGTTTCTCTCCTGTATAAAATACGGTGTGTGTGTGTGTGTGTGTGTAAGGGGTGAACTGAAGTACTGCTTCTTTGCACTTATTGGATTGCTTTTTAAAAAAAATCACAGTAGTATGAATATGAAATATTTTTATACAATGTGAGCAGTGGCTTTGGCAGACTACAAAGTGTAAAGCAATATTTAATTCATTCCCCACAACCAACCACAAGGGTGTAAGAGATGATAATTTACAATTGATTCATTACTGCAGGCAATGAGAGAGAACAGGAACTAATGAAGTTGGAAGAAGGGAAGGAAGACATTCAAAAGGGACAGTAGCCCAGGAAGCTTCAATAGCGCTTTAACAGTCCATACAGTCCTGGTACTGCAAACATTATATGCTTTTTAAAAATCACCACAAATCAGGCCTAAAAAGAGATGGAAAACAACACAGAAAACAAGGAGTTGGCTACAACGTTGTTTGTTGTTCAGTCGCACAGTCGAGTCCGACTCTTCGCGACCCCATGGTTGGGACTGTTTATAAAAAGGAGGAGACAGGATTAGAGCCATATACCTCAGAGGTTTCCTCTGATCACACTGCCAACTGGGCACAAAGGAAAACAGCACATCATAGCACATCTGGGATCCCCCATAGCTCCTGGTTGAAACAGGGCAGGAATGACTGCAGACAGTGGCAGAACTGCAGTGCCTGAGCCTGCTGAGTCCCAGTGCAAACCCTACCTGAGACTAACGACAAAACAAGCCTGGAAGGAGTCAGAGGCACAGCTGAGATCTTGCACCATCAGAACCAGTCATTGTAGATGGGCTGCTCATACTGACTGATGGCCCCACATGCCAATCATTTTGCTGAACCTTTCCAATGAAGCTATTTTTTCACTGGATTCATGCCTGCTGCTATTCATCCCAGCAACTCTTGCTTTCAGATTCTCCTCCCCATCATATTGCCTACATGGTTTATCACACACTAGCAGAGATCAGAAGGACTGTGAACTTGTAGAGGCCTGATCCTTACTTAGGGTTGCCAGCTAGCAAACCCTGGGAACAATTCGGGGGTGGGGACTGGCACACCAGCATCACTCTGGCTCTAGGATTTGCAAAAACTCTATGTTAAAACCATTTGCTATCCCCCCATTCTTGCTGGCACTTAACAGGGGGGCTTAGGATACCAAGTAAGCCAAGTGCCTCCTCTTGGATGCCTGCTCATTTTGACATCAGATGTATACCACTGCAGCACTGGCAAGATGCTTCGCCAGCATATCTCCATGTTATGCTGGTGTAAGGATTAATTTCCATCCTAGGTAGTTATTTAGGATTATGCTGTCAAATTCCTAGGTTCCTGCCCTGACCTGGAATGTCCAGGTAAACCCAATCTCATCAGATCTTGGAAGCTAAGCAGGGCTGACCCTGGTAAATACTTGGATGGGAGACCTCCAAGGAATACCAGGGCTGGGATGCAGAAGCAGGCAATAGCAAGACTCCTCTCTGAAACGTCCAAGCCCCACTAAGGGTCGCTAGAAGTCAATCATGACTTCCAGGCACACGTGTGCACACACACACACACACACAAAGAGAAAAATCCTAAGTGCCTGCAAATATTAATTATTTGAATGCTAGCCATATTTACAGGCCAGAAAAAATAGTCAAATTTCCCAAGCACAAGCATTACTGCTTGGCCCTCCAGGATCCTGTATTCCCCCCCCCCCCCATGTGGTCTGAATACCTGCCCAACCAAATTTTTTAAAAAAGATTTACAACTGGTCTTATTTAAAAACTTCATTATGGAGTGTATAAATAAACAGTGCATTAATAAAATCAACCAGTAACAACAATTTCACCCACCAGCAGAAGGATAACCAGAAAACATTATTTGCATAGATTAATAATACAAGTTAAATTACATTGTGGTAAACTAGGGGAGGCAATATAAAACAAGAAGCTCCATGAGAAAAAAAACTAAGAAATTGAAAAGGAAAGCTGATTCATGACCAAAGACATAACAGTGAAAGAGATATTACCATGATTAAAATGTGAGAAAACGATCAAACAAATTTCCTTTGGTGAAAAGAGGATGCATTTTTCATTCAACACAAAGGATTCAGTATGCTGAGATATCACCTTGCATTATGAAATGGTACAGAGATTTCCAGGCTGATGTGGGCGTTATAAAGCAATAAGCAAAAAAGGAAGAAAAAGAGAGAAATCTGAACATCCAGAAATACAGGCAAAACCTATTAATGAAGATTGCTGATTCACATGGACAACATCAGCAGCTCTGGAAAAACAACACTGGAGAAAGTGGGCAGAGAAAGTGGCCACTGCTGGAGAGACCACTGGAGACCCAGGAAGCCCTGCCCTTTGGGACTGGCAGAATGGCCTGTTGGATTAATTACAAGAACCAGATCAACTTACTCCTGAACTTTCTTTGGAACAGGCTGGATTACAGAAATGGTTTCCAGTAAAACTCTTTTGTTGTCTTTTCTTACATTTCTCTAACTCTTTTTCACACTTTTCTCCTCCTTCATTTTGCTGTCTTCCTTTCATGATCTGCCATTTGTTTTAAGTTTTCTCTCTCCTCCCCATCTCTTATTATTCAGTCTCAAATCCTCCTCACTTTGCTGGTTGACAATTTAGAAGGCATTTAATACTAATAGAGGAGCAAGCCTTTGTTAATATTATGAACTAGGGTTACCAGATGACCTCTTTTTAGAGGACATGTCTTCTTCCTCTTTGGGGCTATTTGAACACAAAGGCCCCAAAGAGCATGGTGTGTGTGTGTCTGGAGATAACCTTTTTTGGCCATAGAACTCCCGCAATCACCCTGAAGCTGGTGGCCAATTTTGGGATTCCTAGTTTTAACTTTTAAGTTATGCCTGCCACAAATGGACAGACAGATAGATATGTGGATCCTTTTATTATTACAGATGGATGGATGGTCACAGCCAGCCAAGTGAGTGGTTTTGTTACGATATTTGGTTTGGATCAGGGTCATGGGGGGGTGGGCAGATGGAATCTTTGGGGGACCATGGTGGCTCTCAGCAGTCCTGCCCAGAAGCATGTATGATGAAGGGACAAAATGGGGAAACAACACCTAATGCCTGTATCTTGGTTTTGAGAATGTAGACAGATAAATATAAAGAGATTGATTTTAGCTGAATGCCCATTAACCAACAGATATCAGCTTGTTTGCCTTCGAGAAAAAAAATGAACAGATGACTTCAGGCATCATCCAAGACAAGACTTTAGGGAAAGTAAATGGAAATAATAACCTGAACATTGTCTTGTATTCTCTAAAAATGCAGTCTTTTAAGATGGAAGAATGCTTGTAAGCATCTAGCAACTAAAATACATCTCTAGAAGCTGGCTGATAGGAATTCCCATTCAAAAGTAAAACAGAACCATATGCATTGCAATGAGTAAATTGTATTGATAATTCCACTTAGATCCCTTCACTTCTGCAGAATAATTTGCACACACAGAGAGAAAGAGTGGGAGCTAATATAAACCAAAAGGCACA